CGCGGCTACAGCTTAGCGTGAACGCGCATGACGTCATTACGCATTACGCTGCCCCTGGATGGTTTGACCCGAATATATAGCCTCTTTGAGGCTATATGGAAGTTTGACCACTTATAAAACTATACAGAATTAAAATGTCTTCCACATACATTCTCCAGCAATGCCTTGGTTTGTAGAATGAGCCCTGGAAAAAATTAACCAACAATACTTACCTGGACCGACACTCACTAATCCAACCCTATCCTGACCCCCAACCCCAAACTTAACCCATTTATCTAACAACCTAAACCTAACCTAATTATTTAATGACCTAAACTTTACCCATTTATTTTATGACCTAAACTTAACCCATTTTTTCAAGGACCTAAGCCTGGACCACCCTAACCCACTTACCTGGAATTACTGGGAAACGACCTGCAATATTAACCAAAAATTAACCAACAATACTTACCTGGACTTACACTCACTAATCACTTATCCCAACCTTATCCTGACCCCTTACCCTAAACTTAACCCATTTATCTAACCACCTAAACTTAACCCATTTATTTAATGACCTAAACTCAACCCATTTATTTAATGACCTAAACTTAACCCATGTATTTAATGACCCAATCCCAACCCTGGACCACCCTAACCCACTTACCTGGAATTACTGGGAACGACCTGCAAAACTAATAAAAAATTAACCAACAATACTTACCTGGACCTACACTCACTTATCCAACCCCATCCTGACCCCCAACCCTAAACGTAACCCATTTATTCAACTGACCTAGACCTACCCATTCTTTTAACCATCTTGACCCCTGACCACCATGACAATCTATGTCCACAATTTATGTTTTATTATTTTAGTTTTTATTATTTAATCCCGCATTAGCATTAAATTCAATCTATTTGTTTCGTATCAAGGTCCACCCTGATCCCTCCCAAAGGTTAACCCACATTCACACCCATGGCTCACATTCCCTGTCCACCATTGCACATCCATAAAATTATTCATCCTCCCTTCCTCCATCACCAGCTGTTCCACAACAGAAGACAGGTGTATCTCTCCCACACAGGTGGAGACCAGCCCCAATCATCCTACCAACCAATCCTGTAAAAAAAAATAAAAAACAACAAAATACCAGAGTATAACTGGACTCCAACACTCAGACCCATACGATACTCACCATACGCCTGCAATGGTCCACAGGGGACCCACTTGCACTATGGTCTGTCCACACGGGACCATAGAGCCCACAGCCGCAGTCCCCCCTGGGCCTGCGAGAGAGAGTGAGTCACTGGAGAGAGCCCACCTACCACCTATACTACACCTGGAACTCCAACCACACCGCCCAGCACGGATGGAGAAATAAGGCCCGTACACTTCCCGACTCCACAAGTTGGAGGAGGGATCCCATACATTTACCTAACCTCCCCAACCGTGCGCTATCGAGGCGGCCCACGCTCCTACGCAGACGTGATGAGGGAAGTTCCCCGTAGATCCCCACCCAGACCGATGTGATTTCTGCCCAGTGCTCTGAATGTCAAAGTGAAGAAATTCAATGAAGCGCGGGTAAACGGCGGGAGTAACTATGACTCTCTTAAGAAAGTGTACGCAGACGGAGTCAGTGGACAGTGTTGCCAATCACTGTTCATGTCATCCCTGGTCCAATAAGCTGCCCCCCCACTCTTGGAGGGGGGCTACAATGGCGTGAAGTGTGACTGATCCACAGCAGTCAAATAAATAAATAAACTCTTGATCCGTCTCGTGTCTTCTTCTCCTCGCCCCGGTCCTCCGGGGCAGGAGGTAACTTACCAGTGAGTTATCTCGAAATAGTCGCTCCCTAACCCGAGTGTATGCATGTCGTAGACCGGAACCTAACCATCTAACCAACTCTTTCTCCTCTAACCCTAACAATTCCTTTTTGAATAGATGGATCCACGGCCATCTGAGAGCGATGACATCCAGTTCATCATGTAACGTCTCATCTCCTTTCAGACTTCTGAACGGAGTGGGTCGTCTCCAGTACAGAGAGTCCGTTCCCTGAAGCCAGTGTGCCTTCACTAAGTTTGTCACAGACTTGCACAAGAGTCTTCGATGACATTTAGCCTTTTGACACGCTACGAAAAGAATGTAGAATAACCGACAGCGTGACTGTTGGAAATGTGCTCATATATATTCCACGTTAAAAGCACCATTGAATACCAGGTGTGGATAGTCCTTCCTCAAGTGGAGGAGTTCAAATATCTTGGAGTCTTGTTCACGAGTCACGAAAGATGAGATGAGATTGACAGGCGGGTCGGTGCAGCGTGTGCATGATGTGGTCGCTGTATCAGACCCGATGTGGTGAAGAGGGAGCTGAAGCTTAACCCTCCCTTCACCAAGGGTGATAAGCTTTGAGTAATACAAGGGTAGAACTGAGTTTCTTCCAAAGAGGCAGGAGCTCCCGAGAAGATGAGGAAAGACTCAGTCTCATGGGAAAAGGAAGGGCTCTGGAGTAGGGCCACTGCTTCTCTATTGGAGAAGAGCAAGCGAGGTGGCTCCGCAATCTGCTTCAGATGCTTCCTGAAGTCCTCTGAGAGGTTTCTCCAGTACATATTCCCCAATGGAGGTGATCCCAGGATGGACACTGTCTCTCAGCTGGTCGGGAAACCTCAGGTTCCCTGGATGTCCTGACAACAAATACGTAAGAAGAAAATAATGGATCGATGGATGGATGGATGGATGGATAGTCCATTTATAACAATTCATTATACCAGACTAGTATAGATATCAATTAACATACAAATACAGAAGGAGAAAATGCTGAGAAAGCCTTTCATGGTCCACTGATATTTAGGCGAGCAGCAACCAACCACGCTAGAAGATGACCAAGCACTAAGACGTGAGACGAGACCAGCTGGAAGGCCAACAGGTAAAGATGCTATTCTGGGAGCTTTGGAGGCCACTCTCCGGAGATCTGACCCATCCACGACAGCCCTGGGCGGGTGGTAACACCCACATCTGCCCTCAACACCGACGAGCCCTGGGGGAAGGCACAGCGGATTCCAAGGAAGGAGGAGTAAAAAAAAACAGGAAAAGGAAGCGCAAAAACGGGGAATGTACCAAAGAGTGGGAGCATTTTGGTTCAGGAGAAGGAAATAATAAAACACTTAAATTAGTGAAAAATGTAAAAGAATTTTTGTCAGATTGTTTGTTATTGGATTCACATATTATGTAAAGCCTACACTGCGGATTTTTGTATTCAGGATACATTGTTTTACAGACGCTGTATAGGCTGCAACCCGTTGACACCAGTACATATCAAAAATCCTTAATATTGCTATCAATTGTTGGTTTCATCAGCGCAAATGCCTGTGCAAAGATCAAATACATAATATTCTGCAATTATAGATGCCTCAATGAAGTCACAAAAGAAAAATACCTCTGGCATACTGCACTAGACTGGAGGATAATCACGACGCTGTTACAACTGCAGTGTTGTGAGGACGCTAGCAAGGGTGCCGTGACCCCAGTAAAGCCTGACCTCCTCATGGTCCCAGGCGCGCTGAAGTGCTGAGAGTCCAGTCCTGCTTCTCCTTCACAGAACACACAGCTCAGAGTCACAGACATGGCTGTCTGTCTTTGCACATTACAACTGTCAGACGAAGGCCGTTCACTTCCCTGCACAACCTAACACAACGCAATGTTCACAACACTGTTTTACCTCAATAATAACAGTTTATTGTGATATTACTCGATAGAACAAATTAACATAAATGGGCTGATTTGACAAGTAATAAGCAAAACCAAGGAGCCCTCGAGTACAAACATGCTGCTGTTCTGGCAAATCTAACAACGACTGTATAGTCTGCTGTGATCTGCACAACAATGATGGATTGGAGACATTTTGATATGACAATTAACACATGCAACAAGATTAATTAAATAATACACTCTGTAATGTTGCAAATTCAGCACCAGAGTAATATATACAGTCTTTGTTTCTTAGTCAGATTCCTCTCCTCTTCTTGACTGATAGTGATGTAACAACAAAAAGAGTATTGTTTGATAGTTGACAGAACAGAGGCTTTCTCCTGAATTTAATGGTCTAAATCACAGTAATTGAAAGTCTTACGTAGCAGCACCCCAAAAAAACCTCCACGTTCTTCCTTCTTTTGGCTTCAACACATGAATTCCACCCGACAAAAGCTTGAATGTCCTCAGATGGCGAAAAGACACAGAAAGACAGGTGCAATTACTAAAGCAAAGTACAGAAATAATACAATAACTGAAGAATCGAACCCATGTGAGGCAGTTTTGTCTGCACTGGTTACAGACGCTCGAGCGCTCACAGCTCTCTTGTTCAAAACTCCTTTGAAGTGAACTGGCTCCAAATCTGCAAAAAATAATCAAAATAATAAAATATAAACAAGGAGAAGTGGAATGCTTTGAAACTGAAAGCATACTGAATCTTGAAACTTCTATGCAATTTTGACCATGATCTTGTTTAGAATAAAAACAAGGTATGTACGACCTCTCAGCAGGGTCTGCTGTGGTTTGATGCCGATGTTAAAGAAAACCGCTGCGTATGAATCAGACCGTCCTTCTCTCACTCCTGTGGCAGCGCGAGAATGTTTTTTCTGGCGGCAACGGGACATTCACCACCAAACTGTCCCCCTGAAAAAAAAATTAGACCATTTTTGAATTGTTTGCTACACACATTTCTTATATGTGCACACAGCACAGTTTAAAGAGTATTACATCAGATTACAGCTAACATGATTTTACACAACTTATTTATTTCTTCTCACCATGTCCCGGTCAGAGTTGTAGAAGTCCCTCTGATTGGCCGCTTTTCCCTTCAATCCAAACAAATGCAACCTTTTGATTCAGCCACGCCACTCCAGTCCTCGAGCATGCTAGTTCATCTCCTTGTCAAAACATTTTTTATTGATAGTTGAGCAGTAGGCAGCCAGCATAATAGTATAGTAGTAGTAGTATAGTACCAAAGTGCTGAGTAGAACCCTCAGAACTGAGCCAGGATCCCCACAGTGTGAAGCTGTTGCAGGAAGTCGGCGTCCTCTAAACCGTGTAGAGTCAAAACAAAGGTATTGTGACCGCAGTGATCTACAGAAACAAGAACCAACATTAATGTAAGATCACTGTCTAAAGAGAAAAGGTGCCCCCCGAAACTCAGACCTGAAGCAACGTATTAATTGTATCGACTGCTGTCTGTTCTTTGAAGGTAACCATTTTGCCTTCAGCTATTTTGTATAATTTTGGCTTTTAAGCATGTGTTTCATGATGTACTCAAAATGGAAATGTTTGCAAACAAAGGCTGAACTACCATCTAGAAGATGGTTGCTACTAGAATGGAAGCCCCCATCACGACCATTTACCTGTCTCACCACAATTGTGTTTATGCACATTCCTTTGATCACCAACATGCATACACGGTGCTACGAGGGTTTGCTTTATGTTGATTAAGGTTTGTTTAGTTTGGTTCTGTGATTAGTAAGGGAATCCTCACTCTCACTGTATCTTCTGGACTCGCTATTTGTGTATTTTATATAAAAATAATGGTAAAAAAACTTTCACCGCGTGACTGAAACGGGCGTGTCGTCTCCTGGACCAGGGTCCTGAGCAGAGCCCTGTTCCACTGTGTCCGCCGTGCCCCCGGAGGATCACATAGGTCATTGCAGCGCTTTGCTTTGGACACTGCCTCACGCACGGCAGTCACGCCAGCGTCACACAAGAGCGAGCAACCTTTCCTGCCACGACCACCAGCGGATGAAGGAGAGGAGGTTTCGTCTGTGGAAAAAACGTTTCATAAACGATAATGAAAACATGGCTTCATATTAAATGTATATATTCTGTATAATTACAATCTCGAATATAAACCCGTAATATAATGTAATCCTGCACTTTTCTGTTTGCGGCCCCATCATATCATTCTGTGTTCACTATAATACAGTACTTACAACTGACCATAACAAGTTCTGGCTATTTTATGTGATGTGTGTAACAAAGTCAGTGTGCACAAACTGCTGCGTTGTGAGGGCTTGTGTCCGGGGAGCTGCTGGTTTTGACTCTGCTGTTTTGCTTTTTCAGCCGATCGACCACGCAATTGATTGCAGTTTCAGCTTTTAACCAACGTTTCGCCCACACCGTGGTCCTGCACAAAATCAACAAGACCCCCATTATAAAAGAGAGTTCCTGATGTTTGATTTTATAGGACGATTACTTGTTTATACTGGCTTTTCACAGTTCAAAGTGTCCATAGTGACTTACGGTGATAAACATTATACCAACATTAAGGGTCCGTGGTACCTAATGCATTTTTATTTTTGAAGGAAAAAAGGAAAATCAAAAAAAGCTATTTTGCAGTTTCAGGCACACAGCAGATAACAAAAATTACCATTTTTGTGTTGTTGTTGTTGCTTATATACAATATATAATACTATATATATATATAGATATATATTATAATAACCAGGATTTGGGAACTAAAAAATGCAATAAATTAACCTTTTTAATGTGTATTTAAACTTTTCGGCGTCATCGATTACCCAAGTGAAACAATTTGTTTACTTCAGCTATTCGCTGTAATTTAGTATACATTTTAATACAAAAATAGACCTCCTGTAGTTGTCCACAACACAAACATTCTGAGAAAACTAATCCCAGGAAATCCTGCATGTCCAGTGATTGGGATCGCGATTGCCCCTTCAGCTTTATAATTTCTGCTTTGTTTTGTGTCATGAGCAGAGGAATGAACACCTGCAGAGTCGCGGATCGCTGCAGTCTCTGTGAGGTCCATGGAGAATACAGAGGACAGTGTAATGTGTTCACTGACACTAAATAATATAAACATTATAGACAATAATCGGGCCTGAGAACTGTAGAAGCGTAAAATGTTTGTCCTCCATGGTCTTTTGCGCAGCTGTGTCCATAGACTGTATAACTTTGTCAGACCGACTCAACTGGACTGCTGAGCGAGAGACACCCGCGCACGTCCCCGCCGTTATGTCAGATTCAGTGAAAAATAGTATTTTATCCAGATCCCATTTAGCAGTGTAAATGAGCTTCCAAGAGTGCCGTTTATGATCATTTATATTCTGCAACATTATCCTAAAAGGAAAGAGTCTATTATTTCCTCTGTTTACCTTATCACTTCATACTTCGCCTTAATGTCTCCAGCCAGACATACATTTATTCATGAAATGCGCTGGAGAGACACATTGCCTTCTTTTGTTCTTTTATTTGTTATCATTTTTTGTTATCTATTTTTCTACAACAGAACACTAATGAAACGCACACACTCAAACGCCACACAAGCACGCCCATTCACACACGCACGCCCATTCACACACGCACGCCCATTCACAAACACACGCAAGCCCCGGGGGATTTCATCTCATAATCCTATACCCATTACCCTGAAATCATTATGCAGAGCTCTGCCGGGGTCTAAGCGCCAAATCTTAAACACATTTCATGCATGCAATTAATGTATTCTTGCATACATTTACTTCAGAGTTGTATGCACTAGTTCATGTAATGTCAGACTATTGCCAAATAGACAATTCTAATATAACTCTCCAGATCGAAATTCTTATTGATTAAATTGCATACTCCATCACCAAACATGTCTCCAAGGGAATTTACATTGCACCTGTGTAACAGATTTAATGATAAGAATGCCAGTCAATAAGGGATGTGCTATTGTCTCATCTAAAAATAAAACGCTATAATTGTATGAAAGCCCCGTGATAAAAACAATTTGGAATTGACAGTCTACCTGCAGCTCTGTTTGAGACTTTTGACATGCAGTGACTTTATCTTAATAATAAGCTCGTTCTCCAAAATACAAAATAAGTGACAAGGAAGTAACATTACTAATACTTTTGGCCGTGGCCGGTCACCCACAGATGTGTGCCTGATGTGCAGCAGGAGGTGGAGTGCACACAGAGTTATGTTTGCGTGGATCACTCCACAGGGGTGCGACGGGGAGAGCTCGTCAGACATCCACTCACCTTTACTAAATATGTGATGGCAGAACAAGGAGCACCCAGCAGGGCCTTCTACTGGTTCTGATGCAGAGTGCGACTGTGATAATGAGACTCCCACAGCGGCGCACACTGTGAAGCAGCGGACAGTGCACACTAAATTCCACATTTTTTTTAAAGGCAAAAAAAAGTTAATATATCTTGTTTTCTTTTTATTGTGTTGTTAATTGAGAAGAATTGAAGAATTTTACCTCACAGTAATTGTAAATCGAATAATTATAATTGTTTCATCCCTTGTAAATGAATAAAGAATAAATCCACCTTTGACCTTTGTCATAGAAGGCCAAATATGATTTGTAAATAACGGGTCCGAAGACACAGAAACAATATGTTACAAATATCAGCTATAGCCTGGATCAGGCAAGGCGGGAATGCTTGGGGCTGCCTAATGCCTTTTTTCATTTTTCCGCAAGCTCCGGAGGCTCTTTGGATTTTTTCACAGATTAACTGCAAGAGCTGATGCTCCTCAAACATGCTGGATGTGACCACTTTCTGTTATTCTTATCCTGTTTGTGCTTAGGGATAGAGGAAAAGTCTCACAGCACTCACAATAGAGAAAGGGCATATAATTTGTTTTAATGTCAGTATTTCAGAAAAGGTCTGTCCTTTTTGCGTAAATGAAACAATGTAGCCCTGAATTTGCTAACTGGCCAAAGTTAAAAGGCCGAAGTCCTAAAAGGTCCTAATGAGAATGGTTTTGTTAGGTAAAACTCTGTATCTCTCTTTATCTCTTGTCTGCAGGGGAGATGCCTCTGACTGGTTCAAATGTTGGTGTGCCTGCTCTTGTGGGGCTGGAGTATCCGGACCCGGGAGGTTCAGGCCTCAGCGTGCCTGTTCTGGGCTGTGAATGCATGCCCTTCTCTAGGAAAAGACGTCCGTTGGCTGGAACCATGATTAACCCTGATGGAAAGGGTGAAAAACAATAATGTTGGAATTAGTTAATCATCCAGATGCTTGATACTTTCTGATTGTAGGTGTTGAAGCGATCCGATATGGCAGTCGGACCATAGATCCAGCCACAGGGATTGTGGCACCGGTGGTTGGAGCCAGATTGGATATTAGCAGGAAGTCTGTGGTCCCGCTTACTGCCCCCCTCTGGCTCTCAATATCAGAGAAAACTGATAGTATTGCAGTAAGTATCACACTTGATAGTCTGGCTCTTTTTAACTAGACTAAGCCTTGTTCACACGGGACAAGAATGCTTCATTTCTGAATGAAAAAAAACATTAAACAAATGAGTCCACTACTCACCTAAGTCAGTTTACATAATTTGAAACAGATCTGTGAAGCATTTTTACCCCAAATGAACCAGACATGGTCCAGTTGAACCAGACCAACTAATGTTTATGCGCCCTAAACGATGGCGCTACATGACGTTGTATGATCCACTAAGTGATGTATCTCTTGCTTTTTAGATGGAGGGATTGCAGAAGGAGGTCTGTGCTCGAAACACTTTCTGGCAGCAGCAGAAGTTAAAGGAGGAGGACGTTCTCTCTGATCTGGACTCATCACTTTCCCTCTGCGTTTCAAACACACAGTCTTATCAGGTCAATGGCAAGGAGCTTGGAAATTGAATTTTTGTTGTTTAAAAACAAACGTCTGGACTCTGTAAAGCTGCCATCTTGTACTTTTGCCCTTTGCGTAAGATATGATATAATTAATAAGTTTCAAAAAGCACTGCACAGCAATATAAACAAACAAAACATCCAGGAACCCAGATATAAAGTGGGAAGAACGTGGCATAATTTCTCTGGGGGAAAGAGATTTGTAGACACATTACAGCAAGAAGCTTTAACCATGTAAAGTAAAAACTAAATACATTTGAAAATCTAAAAAACTGATCTTATTTGAGCTTTATTTGTAAATGTGTATGTAAGTTGTAATTCAACTGTATTTGGTAAAATATTGGGTACATCAATTTCAAACCAACAAAATGGAACTATGTAATAAAAGCTAACAAGTTCTTGCATCTAAAACAGAGGCAAAAATGCATTAAGGCAGAACAATTCATTCATACACAAGGCAACTCAAAGTGCTGAACAAAACAAGAGAAAAAATAATCACTGTACATTAAAAATAATACATCTTTAGCTTTTTCTGACGGGAAAATGAAAAACGAGGACCACCCACCTGCAGCCAATCAGCTTTCAGCCCAAAGCCTCAAATAGCTCTCAGGGCTCTTACTCATAAAAGTATGCAAAATATAACATGATTTAGAAAATGTATATTCAAAAAAACCAGTAGTCTGATTTTTTTTTACCTAATCTTACTTTTATCCAAGGTTCTTTCTGTGAGGACAAACAACATAATTGCTGAGGGAATAAAGTGAGATATTCCAGCTTTCAGTTCACAAAAGAAACCAGTATAGACTGGTTTGTTGGAACTCAGGCTACATGGGGAACTCGCTCAAACATTATGCATAAGAAAAATGAAGTTTATATTCTCTATACAGTCACGAAACGTGTGTTTTCTACATGCAGTGGTCAGTGAGGCCGCTGAGGGAGGCCGCTGAGGAGCTGCAGGAGTCTTCACAGGCCGAAGCCCAGAGGAGAGCAGCGGTGTGCAGTCACTTGGCCCTGATCTTGCCACAACATGTGCATTACACCCTCATAAAAGGTTAGAAGAAGCACTAAGTAAAACATGTCAAAACGCCTGCTAAGTAAGTAAGTAAGTAATCTTCTTTTACATAGTGCCTTTCACAGACCAGAGTCACAAAGAGTCACAAAGAGTCACAGAATGGGCATTATCAGAATCAGAATTATGTTTATTGCCATGTAAATAACAGGAAGTCACAGACCAGGAAATTGCTTTCATTGCTTTCATGCTTGTGCAAACAAGTCAAGAGTAGAGACGGAATAAGGTATTTCTAAAGTATACAATATAGAACCACATATGTCCACTTTTGCTTTACCAAGTCACTGTTACTTGCACTAGAATACACAAAACTTTATACTTGCTTCTTATTATGCTAAAGGTTGAGATTCTATACTTCTTTATTAAGCTAAAGTCAGAGTTTTTGAGCTCATTATGATAAAGATAGACATTTTGTACTTGTTTCTTCTTCATGCTAGAGTTAGAAGTTTTTTATTTTGTTATTGTTCGTTCCCACTGTTCTAAAACTGGTGATGCAACACTGAAATTTCCCCACTGTGGGACGAAAAAAGGGTCTCTTAATCTGCTCTCATCAACTTTATACCATGGTTTTATGTGCTCAGGTGACGAGGAGGAATGGCTTGTTCACTGCGCTTGGCAATCGGCGCTTGAGTCTGCCTTCGACAAGCTTGAAGTGTGTTTAGAACAATTACAACAAGAACAAGAACGATACACAGCAAATGAAAATGAATGGACCATGTCTCACGCTTCACTGGTCAGAACGCTGATTTAACAGATCCCTTATGTAGTCATTTTGCTTCGTATTCTTCTAGCACATCAATGCACTCTAGCATTGACCCGTACTGTGTGAATCTTATTATCTACATGTGTTATATCACAAGGCTTTTCCTGTTCTTTCTCACAGGACAGAGAGAGACTGCGAGAGGTGTGGGAGCAGTGCTGTGCCAAACAAGCGGAGTTGGACTCTGCTGTTAATGCGGTGCACGTTGCCAGGTCCCTATCTAAGCTCCGTGCAGACACAGCTCAGGTCTGCACCACACAAATCATTATTTATCAGAAGCAACAGCATAAGACACTTGGAGCTGGCTTGTTAAAACACATTAACTCAACTAACTGGTTGTATTGCTTGCACGATCACCGGAACCTATGATTTTTGTTTCTAGGCTGTGCTCGCTGGGCATTTTTGGTATAAGGAATATGGTCTGGTGCAGTTTGATGGACACAGAGGAGCAATAAATGTCATGTCTATGGTCAGGGAGAAATCGCTTCCTTTGCTGGAGAGGCTCAGCCAGCTTCTGCAAGATAAACATTACACAGGCTTATCTCAGAACCCATGCAATAACAAACTGTCTGGTATGATACACCAGCTACATCGAATATCTATAAGGAATATTTATATTTTCTTGGTGAGAGCACTGAAATCACTATATCATGAATGACTTTTTTCATTATTTAGATTTGCAAACAAAACAAAGCTATGGGATGGAAATAGCATCAAGAGTTTGGACCGAATCTGTCCCTGCGGTTGTGCAAGGTTTGTGGATTTGAACTATATATTACAATATGCTTAAACATGTATGTTTACTATAATCATGATAATATGAGATAGTAATATACAATCCTGGCTTTTTTGAGAGAGACCTTCACAAACAATGCATTCTGGGATGGACTCAAACATGGACTTTCTGCATGATTATATTTCAATTGCAAAATCTGTGGCTGTGTTTCAAATGTATTTCCTTATCTGCTTCTTTCCTTGTCTAACCTTTTCCCCTACACAATTTGGTTAAGGTTAGGGCTTTGAAAATGTTATGCTAATCTGGGCCTAGCAGAAAGGAGATAGGACAGGATCAAGGCTTTCTCCTCTCCTTCTCTGAGTCCTCCCACATATCCTGTTGAGAAATGGCAGAATTGGGGATGAAGGAAGAGTAATGGAAGCCCAATGACACCTGTGTATTTTACAGAACAATACTGGACAAACATGCTATGTTTAAGTATGTTCAATTCATTCAGTAGATGAATACATTCAAATTATTATTCATCCCAGTAGGAAATTCCTCCCAATCTCAGAGAGAACGTGTCAAAGCTCAATCCCAAGACACTGGTTTGGAGATGAGTTCTGGTCCAAGCCGCCCTTCTCAAAGACACACACTATCTTCTGGGCTTCAGTCGCTAGGTAAGACTTTTGTGAGTGAAAAAAACTCCTATGACATTTAAGAGTGTTTTGAGCCTGTGGGCAAGACACTTCCCCCGCACGGCTGTGTAATACTGTACTAGCATAAAGACATACTTACATGCAAAAACCAGATCCCGTCAGACCCTTGAAGCTGCACAGGACAGGGCCTGGTTAGTAGTGTGATGGGAGACCTCTGGGGACACCAGGTGCCACTGTGGGGTAGCTGTGGTTGTAAAGTGCCAAACTATTGTTGTGGCCTTTGGGCAAGACACTACACCCACATTGCCTAGAATGAGTCTGGTGTGTGAGTGAATGGTTGGTGGTGGTCTAAGGGACAGATGGCACAGGTAATGGTTTCCTCACTTCTGTCAGTGTGCCCCAGGGCAGCTGTGGCAATGACACGTCTTTGAGTCTCCTGAAATCACTCTATAAAATCAATGTTTTATTATTTATATTATATAAAATAATTCAATTTCCTTTTTTGTAGAGAGCCAAACAAAGAAAGAGCAAGATATCTCTGTTCCGTTCATTTCAGGTAATTTGAAATAAATTTGTGCCACATCCTCTAGGCAGGGCTGACTTTTCCATTTCTTTCCTTTTCCCTTGTGGCCCAGGGGAAGCGTGGGGCAGGCTGTTGGAGCAGTCACCCCTGTTTCACTTGCTGAAGGAGGTGGAGCTCCAGATGAAGACGTGGGCCTGTGGGACAGGTCTTGTAAGAGGAGATCATCTCGGTGGGCTGGTCATTGTTATCTAATTATATATTTAATTTTCTGCATACCAATGTTCTTCCTCCCAACACTAACAACACTCAAATGTTTCTTTTGTCAAACATTCAGCAGAACGCGTCAAAGTTAACATTCTCTCTAAAACTTTCACACACATAAAGATTTTGTTTACTACTGTTACTTGACTCTTTCTAACTTTAAAGACGTTAACGAAGTCCATGTGGTTGCCATTCTGAGTTCATTTAAATGACTTTCAGATGCCCAGCCGGAATCTGGAAGTCTTACACTTACAAAACCTACAGTACAACATGATTTTCTTTATTTCTTTGATTTTGTTTACAGAACAGGGAAAGCCCTTTGTGGATGTCCTGGATGCCCAATGGGAATGTGAAGGGGAGCTGATCCCTATTTGGGCCTCAAGCCTAAATCCCAGAGAATATTTGGTCTATCAGCATGGCCTTTTTCTCATGCAGACCTTGAACAGTCAACAACTGGTTAGTGTCACTTTTGTTTTTCAATTTTGCATGTATTGTTTGGTAAATTACATGCAAAAAGGCATGCAATGCAATGGTCTAATAATAAAGTATAATTGGGGCATCAGCCCTAATTTTATGTTATGTAGGAATGTCATGAATGCTGTGGACAAACCTATGTACACTGATAAATTGTACCAATTCTTAAAAATGATATTTTACTGAGTAATATTTTACAGCAAATATTAAACACCTATTGGTTTTCACAGACCCCTGTTGTTACCCTGGAAATAACAAGCAGTCTTCCTGCCAACAACTACGTCGACAATGCTTTCCGAAACTCCTTCTTTTACCAGGTATTTTCATTATACTCAAAATACAACACAACATATTGTAATAAATGAGACATTGCAAAAAGTTTGAAAACTTTCGTCTCCTCTCTCTGCATGTTTTGAGATTCTGACATCTGTTATTGTTTATGATCAAAGCCAACTCGAGTTGTGCAACTCTTCCACTGCTGTTGCACATATGGTCACTCACTGTTCAAAATTCTCTTTTTATTTAAGTGTTTTCATTTTAGATGTAATCATGTTGAACATGTAATAAGAGCCGCTTGAATATTGTCAAAAAAAAGCACAACATACAAAAACACACAAGTTAAGATTCAGTAAATGAACCTTGCCCAAGGAAACAATGGTATTATATATACTGTGGGGTAAAGGCATCTGAGCTGGTGACATGTCGGTACTTGGTATAAACAGTTGGAAACCTCATCTCATGAACATTTTATCAACATGTTCTCATGGGAGGAAGCAGAGGAGACACTCTTTGTCCGTCGCCAGAGGTTACAATCTGTGGGTGGGTTTTCTCTACTGCTGCTCCACTGTCTCTGCCACATCAGCCTCAGCGACATGTCCTCAGATGGCAGCCCAGCCTTCCAAAGGCTTTTCTTTAAGGTACATTTCAGCACAAGTGCATCTTTGCTTAGTGTAATGATATTGCTGTTCTGTGTAGGTCCTTCAGGCGGCCCTTGGAGAGCTGTTTCAGGCCCGTCTGAATGCGCGCCCCTTAGGGCTGGACAAAGGGGCCCATTCAAGGGATATTAAGGGAACTCTGTGGAAATCTCCAGCTGACTCTCTGCAGCACAGTCCAGGCAGAAGCCTGTTATCACAAGATGTAAGTTATGAAGGCTTTCTTCTGTGTGTCTCTCATTGGCCTACATTTGTGTCTCTCATTGGCCTACATGCGTTTTCTTTGTGCTTGAATTATTCTGTTGTTTGTGGTGTTTGACAGGTCAGGGAACTCCTGAGGAAGCATTATGAGACGTCAGTCTTCACGCAGGTTGAGGAGCAGCTAAAGCACCAAATACCACTTTCCAAAGACTGATGTTTTTGTTCACTCTACAGGTATTCAGTGTCTAATTTTTGTCTGTCTGCGTATTATATGACTAAATCAATGTAACAGTAAATCAATGTTGATTTGGTTAAAAAAAAGATATTTATTAAACCAATACATGATAATGTGATCATCTTTAACAAGTAACAATAAATGGGCAAAAACAATACAAATGTTAGTGCTGTTGAAGTATACGTATACAAGGAACATGTGGCGGCAGTCTGTGGCTGGGGGGTCGTCTGCGGTGGAAAAAGAGGAAAACTTTGCCACATTCCTCAAACGCCAATGTCCCTTCCTCATTTGTGTCCCACTCCACTGGCCCACAAGGCAATGAGGATGACCAAGAAGACCATTCCACACACAAGGCCAATCACATTCAGAATTTTTGCTGTCCTTGAGGCATCTTTTGCCATGATTTGATCTCCTTCAGAATTTGCATTCTGTGCCTAGAACATGATTAAAAAGCATTGATCCAAGAGTGAAAAAAGAACGATTACACTCTATTTTATTATTATTTACACACGCACTCATACACACACCTACACACACACACCCCACACACACTACTAAAAGCAATGGCTCACAAAGGCTTACCCTGCAGGAGCAAACGATGGCTGCAATCCCTAAAGGTAAACAACAACATAAGGTGCTGAAAATTGACCATCCGAGGTAGGTCGGGATGACTCTGCGAGTTTGGCCTGCTTCCATGGTGGATGTAATGATCTGATAACGGGATTTGCGGGGCTGTCAAGCTTTGGTAACATGAGTGAAAAACTTTAGTGGATGGCCATTCCCTTATGAGTGTAAGGGGCGTGTCTGGTTCAAGCCCTACTCCTCCCAAGTTGGGATGATCAAGACAGTGGAACCAAAAAGCATCAATGCAGTAGTTTGTCTTTGCACAACAGAGCCAAGTGGTGTTGGCTGAGACAGGAAAAGGACATCAAGCACATTCCACTCGTCTGGTCTTCAGATTTAGGTTGTAACCTAAATCTGTACAAATGGTTGTAGCAGATGCGACCGCGGTGAAGTTAGTTTGAAGTTGGATATCCGACAGACATTCGCCGCAACATTTAAGTGCACCCGTACTACACACAGTACGGTAAACACGCGGAGACATGTACGCTGGTCTAATATTTACATATAAAAAATAATTAAAAATACTTACAACATTTTAATGATAAAATAAGAGGTGTACCCCCTGTATCTAGTGGATGACTATGATCCTAAACTGATTTGGAGTCAATAGATCACATGACCTGGAAGCTATTGAACTAAAATGCTAATATTTGCCTTTACAAATTCATTAAAAATACTTTAAAAAACTTAAATGACAAAAGAAGAGGTGTACCCCCTACAGCTAGGGAGGACTATGATCCTGACCTGATTTGGAGTCAATTGATCACATGACCTGGAAGCTATTGAGCTAAAATGCTAAATTTGCCTTTATAAAATCATTAAAAATACTTACAAAAACTTAAATGAGAAAAGAAGAGGTGTACCCCTGCAGCTAGTGGAGGCTATGATCCTGACGATTTGGAGTCAATAGGTCACATGACCTGGAAGCTATTGAGCTAAAATGCTAATATTTACATATAAAAATTCATTAAAAATACTTAAAAAAATTAAATGACAAAATAAGAGGTGTACCCTTTGCAGCTAGGGCAGGACTATGATCCTGACCTGATTTGGAGTCAATAGGTCACATGACCTGGAAGCTATTGAGCTAAAATGCTAATATTTGCCTTTAAAAATTCATTAAAAATACTTAAATGACAAAAAAGAGGTGTACCCCCTGCAGCTAGTGGAGGACTATGATCCTGACCTGATTTGGAGTCAATAGGTCACATGACCTGGAAGCTATTGAGCTAAAATGCTAATATCTGTGAAGGTAAAAATGGTCACAAATAAGCAAAAAGCCCCATGGATAAAAGCAGGCCCGGTCAGGGCACAGAAGCAAGAGTGCCGGAGAGCAGAGAGAAAGTGGAGAAAGTCCAACCTCCAGGGTGATTATAAACTCTTAAAAGAGAAGTTGTGTGAGTTTAACAGAGTACTACGTAGAACAAGAGAATTATACTTTTCTGAAACTATTGAAGGCTGCAGCAACAATCTGCGTGTTCTATTTTCAACAATCAATAGATTAACGAACCCCCCTGTTGAGTTGCCATTAGAACACTACTCCAAATCCAGGTGTAATGAGTTTGCACAGTTCTTCAGAGACAAGGTTCAGGGTATCAGAAATGCCATCACCTCTACAACACAAGTAACAATGCAACATCCAGTGAGGCTTTGTGAGCTAGCTCAATTTGCACCTGTCAATGATGAAACTGTTAAAAAGATAATCACAGGTCTTAGTTCCTCTACCTGCAGTCTGGATGTACTACCTCCTATATTTCTGAAGTCTGTTATGTGTGGTCTATTACCCTCATTGACACAAATAGTAAACATGTCTTTTTTATCTGGAACATTTCCAATGGCCCTGAAAAAGGCAGTCATCAGGCCCCTCCTAAAAAAGAGCAGTTTGGATGCTACGGTACTTGAAAATTACCGTCCCATCTCAAATCTGCCTTTCATGGGAAAAATTCTTGAAAAAGTTGCCTACCAACAACTTACTGAATTTTTAATATCTAATGACTCATTTGACATGTTCCAGTCTGGCTTTAGACCACACCACAGTACTGAGACCGCTCTAGTCAAGGTAACAAATGATATTCGGCTTAACACTGATGCAGGAAAAGTCTCTGTTTTAGTCATGTTACATCTGAGTGCCGCTTTCGACACCGTTGACCATGAGATTCTCATGCAGAGACTGGAGGACTGGTTGGTGGTGTTGCTGGTACCGCCCTAAGCTGGTTTAGGTCCTATCTAGAAGAAAGGAAGTATTGTGTGGAGATTGGAGACTATGTCTCAGATAATATGGCCCTGACCTGCGGAGTGCCACAGGGGTCGATTCTGGGACCTCTCCTGTTCAATATTTACATGCTGCCATTAGGTCAGTTAATTCAAAGTATGAAAGTGTCCTACCACAATTACGCTGATGACACTCAGATCTATGTCTCACTGACTGCAGGAGAGCATGGACCAGTGGACTCACTCCTTCGCTGTATCCAGCGGATCAGTGAGTGGATGCAATGAAATTTTCTCCAGCTAAATGCAGACAAGACCGAAATGATTGTCTTTGGTCCCGAGAAACAAAGAGAGACCGTCATTTGTCACCTTCAGTCTCTCTCCCTGGGGCCTTTAAATAAGGTCAGAAATCTGGGAGTAATAATGGACTCTGACTTAAACTTCAATAGCCACATTGGATCGGTAACATCAGCAGCTTTTTATCATCTGAAAAATATTGCCAAAATTAAAAATATTGTGTCCAGGGCAGACTTGGAGATTCTTATCCATTCTTTTGTTTCCAGTAGGCTGGATTACTGCAATGGCCTGCTCACAGGTATCTCCAAACATGCAGTAAAACAGCTGCAGCATATTCAAAATGCTGCAGCCCGAGTCCTGACTAGAACCAGGAAGTACGACCACATTAGTCCGGTCCTCAGGTCTCTGCACTGGCTTCCCGTGGCCCAGAGGATAGACTTTAAAGCAGCTCTCCTGGTGTACAAGTCTCTCCATGGCCTTGCACCAAAGTACATCCATGATATGCTAGTCCCATATGAACCAGCCCGGACTCTGAGGAGCGCAGGGACGGGACTCCTGTTAGTGCCCAGAGTCAGGACTAGACAGGGGGAGGCTGCTTTTCAGATTTATGCAGCTAAAGTCTGGAACAGTCTTCCTGAGGATGTGAGACTGGCTGCCTCTCTGTCAATGTTCAAATCCATGTTAAAGACTTTTCTTTTTTCCTGTGCATACAACTAGAGAATTTTATCTTTTTAACACACCTTGTTATTTATTGTTGTAACTTTTTGTGTTTTTAACTATTTTATTGTTTTTAATTACTTGTGTGATTCTTATGTTTTTAAATTACTTATGTGATTTTAATGCTTTTTAATTACATATGTGTTTTTAATTGTATTTTAATGGTGATGATTTGTGCATTGTGTGGTGTGGACTGTGAGGCGCTTTGTGTTGCCCTGTGCAGGAAAAGCGCCCTATAAATAAAATTGATTGATTGATTGATTGATGCTGAGTAAGACAGGTGGGACAGTATGGAGAAAAGCACCCAGCACAAGATAAATTAATGATAATCAATATAAAATAAAATAAAATTTACATAAATAAATCTAATAGAACAACAAATCACTAACTCTAGCCATATAAAATCAGTGAAAATCTCTATATTTAGGCTTAAAATGATAAAGAATCTGAAATCTCTAAGCATATGGAGAACAAGACTTAACTAGGTTATTGAGAGTCAAAGTGTTGTTTGTTTTGGACCAAAATCTCAGCAGCACAGTCTTCCAGCCCCTGTTTGTCCATCTGTCTTTTCAAACCATCCTTCATACATGTATTTATAGGAAGGGCCTGCATGCTGAGGCCTCGGTGCGAGAGTGCAGGAGGCTGTCGAGTCAAGCCACGTGAAGTCAGACGGTGAATTGACAATTGCTTGCTGTACGGCTGCCCGGTCGCCCTGGTGGAGTCCTCTGAGAGTGGGGGTTGCATCATGATCTCTCAGACATCTGACGATCGTGAAGTCGAGAGCAAACTTTCACCATTGGGCTGCAAACGTGACTCATCGCAGAATTTTGTTTTCTTATGTCCAAACAAAAAGGCACAAAGGCAAAGCTCTCTGAATTCCTCCACTCAGGACTGGGCTTTTTTCTGGTTATTCTCTTTCTAGTTTCCTCCCTGGTCACCTCTCCTGGGTCTCTCTCTGGTCACTCTGCTCTGGTCTCTCTATGATCTGTCCCCTGGTCAATCTCTCTGTTTGCTATGGTCCTCTCTATGTTCTCTCTGGTCCTGTCTCGATCTCTCTCTGGTCTCACTCTGGTCCCTCTCTCTAGTCCTCTCTCTAGTCACTCTCTCGGCTCTCGTCTGTCTCGCTATGGTTTCTCTATGGTAGCTCTCGGAGCTACAGGATTTAATTTTTACATAAAGAGTCAATAGGAGGCAGAGTTAAAACTTCTCTATTGGGGGCTCATAGAGGTAGTAGGTTAGCATCGTCCGCTGTATGCGAGTCTATGGTCCTTTCACTGTTTACACCCCTGGCTCACAGGTGCAACAGAAGGACAACAGAACAGCGTAATCGGCCCCCCTTGAACTTTTCAACATTACCCACATTTCAGGCTTCAAACATAAAGAATATAAAAATATTTTTTTTTTGTCAAGAATCACACAAGTGGGACACCATCGTGAAGTAGAAAACGAAATGAATTGGATACATTTAAACTTTTTTAACAAATAAAAAACTGAAAAAGTGGTGTGCAATATTATTCGGCCCCCTTGCGCTAATACTATGTAGCGCCACCTTTTGCTGCAATTACTGCAGCAAGTCGCTTGGGGTATGTCTCTATCAGTTTAGCACATTGAAGAGACTGAATTCTTTCCATTCTTCCTTGCAATACAGCTCAAGCGCATTGAGGTTGGATGAGACGTATTGTGAACACATGTTCAGCTCTTATCCACAGATCCTCGATTGGATTCAGGTCTGGAACTTTGACTAGGCCATTCTAACACCTGGACGTCTATTTGGGAAATCTTTGAATTTAGATTTGGGCTTTATGTTTTGGATCATTTGTCCCTGTTGGAAGATAAATCCCGACCAAGTCTTAGGTCTTTTTGCAGACGCCAACAGTTTTTCTTCAGAATGGTCCCTGTATTAGGCCTCCATCTACTCTTCCCTGTCCCTGCGAAGAAAAGCAGGCCCCAAACCATAAGCTGCCACCACCATGTTTGACATGGGGATGGTGTGTTCAGGGTGATGAGCTGTGTTGCTTTTTATCGCCAAACATATCGTTTTGCATTGTGGCCAAAAAGTTTGATTCTTCCACATGTTTGGTGTGTCTCCCAGGTGGCTTGTGGCAACTTTTAACAAGACTATTTATGGATCATCTTTGAGAAATGGCTTTCTTCTGCCACTCTTCCATAAAGGCCAGATTTGTGCAGTGCACACTGATTGTTGTCCTATGGACAGACTCTCCCCACCATCAGCTGTAGTTATCGAAGTTCATCCAGAAAATGATCATTGGCCTCTTGCTCCATCTCTGATCCGTTCTTCCTCCTTGTTTGAGATAAAGTTTGGAGGGACAGCCGGGCTTGGTAGAATTTACAGTGGTCTGATACTCCTCCATTTCAATATAATTGCTTGCACAATGCGCCTTGAGATGTTTAACTTGGGAAATCTTTTTGTCTCAAAATCCGGCTTAAACTTCCCACAACAGTATCTCGGACCTGCCTGGTGTGTTTCCTTTTTCTTCATGGTCTCTCTGCGCTTTAAACAGAACACCTAGACGATCAAGGAGCAGGGTGCAATTATACGGAGACTTTTTTACACACAGTACACAACTATTTATTCATCATCAGGCATTTATGACAACATTGGATCATTCAAAGATCCTCACTGAACTTCTGACTGAGATTTGCTGCACTGAAAGTAAGGAGGGCCGAAATAATATTGCACGCCCAACTTTTTTAGTTTTTTATTTGTTATAAAAGTTTAAATTATCCAATACATTTCGTTCCACTTCACGATCGTGTCCCCTTGTGTGTTGATTCATGACAAAAAATTACAGAATTAAATTAAATCTGAATTAAAATAAATTCAGAGGACTGAACAAAACCATTGAAAACTCCAACACAGGTCAAGAAACACAGTTAAAACACATTAAAGAATATAGTCAACAATGTTGATAAATGTCCATACATGTTTAGAATGTAAAAGTGTCCTGGATTATCACCACAGTCCCGTCTTGTTGGACACTAACTGTATCAACACCCTCCATGCATCGGCAAGGAAAAACTCAAAACCAGTAGTAAGTCATTTTATTTATATAACTCATTTCACAGACCAGAGTACATAAAGCGCTTTACACTTGTGGACATTATCTCTCATCTCCACAGAGATGGGAGCGGTATCAGGAGAGCGCATGCCCTGCTATTGTTCAATTTTTAGTGGTAGGGGAACCCGGGAGCACCCGGAGGAAACCGACGCAGACACGGGGAGAAACATGTAAACCTGCTCTGGGAAATGTATAGTTTGAGAATTCTAGAAGGTTAAAGTCCCCCCCTACATTTTGACAAAAAATGCTGTTGTTGCCTCATGTTTGCCAATTCCTCTATAAAAGTTAAAATCATTACCGGTCCACGTCGCCCTCACCCCTCTTAACGCCCCCACCCCCTCCCCCCACTCTGAGCTCGGCAATTATATGTAAAAGCGCTCTTTGTGCCCGCTGCCTCTGTCTGATGTGGAAACGTTTGAAGCGTGTGTAAAGGACCTCCTTTCTGAGCGCTTCACAAGGAGAGCAGCCCCGACTCCAGGTCAAGGCCGCTGCCAGCCGGGGGCCCCCTCAATCACCTCAGACAGATGCAGGGGCCCCGGGAGCTGGTGCTGAAAGCCTCTTCACGCGCAACACGAGGCCCAAAGGCAATGACGAAAGTAAACAAAAGCACATTATGTCTCACACTTTCACTCTGGGCCAAACACTGAGGCCGTTCATGGCGCCATCACACGGGGCACTGTGGTTTCAAAGGAGCTTTCTACTTATGGCAAATTTCCTCCGCGTCCTGACAGCGTCCCCGTTAGAAACACTGAAGCATCAGGACATTTGGTTTAGTTAAGTTCCAGGCCTGAAAACCGTTCTTGGTTAGCTGGGCATATGACCAACTGTTTTACCATTATTATTATTATTTGATTTCACATTGTGTGCTATAAGGGTTTTGTTTTAGGATCCATCATTACACCATAAACAGACAAGGGAGAGCGGTGTATAGCAATGAACAGACTCAGTTGAAGTCCAATTGGCAACATACAAACACACACAATAAACATTTCTTTCTTCAATTTAAGGACTATAAGAAAAAACCACGTCTGTGAACCTTTCATTGAAATCTCTGTCTGACAGGATACTATATAAGTACTATATAACTGTACTTGTATTCCGGTAAATAATGACATTTCTGGGTGGGTAAAGCTGGAGTGGAATCTCTTTAAGGTGCAATAAGGATGTGCCAAAAGCTGTGAAAAGTACAGTTATGTTTTCCATATTGCAGTCCAGGTCCCAACTCCCACTTTTATTGAAAGACAAGACATGGTAAGAACGTTTTTTTTTCCGTCACACACAGTTCTACCGAGCGAATGTCGCAGTTTAGCACGTTTCCAACCAAAATCAAAACACCCGAATCTTGCTTCACCCTCGTCGTGATCCGTGAACCTGTTCCGTGAAGAAAGTTGTCTCTCACTTCCTCAAAACTTTTTCTTACACATTTTTAGCTCGCCATGCAGCCCAGATTTGAAGCCTGATTGCACCATCCTCTTTCCCACTAAAACTCATTTCTCAGTAATATTACTCAACAACTTCTTTCGTTGACCTTGTTTTCCCACATTTTTCACCACTAAAATCTCTTGTCCTCCCATTGAACGTGTTCTGTAGCATTGCCCCGTTTGACCTGTGCTGAAAGAGTTCCATAGTCAGCAGTTGAATGCGTGTTTGAACATCCCTCGTCCGAATTCGCAGAGGCAGTGAGTGAAAGCATGATGGCTTGACCCCCTTTCCATTATAGATAACATTATAAGTTAACCATGGAAACGTCACAATCTTCAATGCGGCATTCGGGTCCTAGCGTTGACAACCTCGCATTGAGAATGGGTTTTGCCGTTGCAAGTGAAAGTTATTTGTAAGTTATTGTTGAGATTAAGTAAGTAAATAAGTGGCAGCACAGTGGCTGAGTGGATGACACGCTCGCTTCTCCAGCAAGAAGGTCCTGGGTTCGAATCCCCTCGAACAGGGCCTTCTAAATGTGAGTTTGCATGTGGAGTTTGCATGTTCTGTCTGCTAGGTTTCCTCCGGGAACTCCGGTTTCCCTCCTCTAAAAACCTGTAAAATAGTTCTGCATGCCCTCCTGTTTGGCGACCTCGCTCCCATCTCTGTGTGGATGAGAGGGACAAGTGCCCATAATAACAATGTAAACCGCTTTGAGACTCCTTCTGTGAAAGGCAGTATATAAATAAAGATCACATTACTTTACTTACTTTAAGTAGAATTCATCTTTATTCATATAGCGCCTTTCACAGATCAGAGTCACAAAGCGCTTTACAATTGTTGTGGGCATTTTTCCTTTCGCTCCACACAGAGATGGGATGCAGGGTCGCCAAACGGGAGCGCATCCAGACATGGATTGTACATGTTTTTAATTTAGGTGGTAGGGGAAACCGGATGCCACCTGGATGAAACCTACGCAGACCACGGGGAGAACATTCAAACTCCACACAGAAAGCCTGAGTGGAATTACATGCTACATCTTTTTGTGGAAGGGGGGAAACTGGTGACGAACAAAGTTAGAAACTATTCACCCGCTGTCACGATGTCTGTTCTCGTGGCGTGATGATGGGAACCCTGAACCTGCTCCTGTGATCTGGTCTTCCTGCAATCCTGCACCAGTCCACCCAGCAAGACCCAGAGAGAGACCTGGCAGACACAGAAGTAGAGACCAGACAGACCAGAGAGAGACGCAACAAGCTGACTATAGAGAGACCCAGGCAGACCATAAGAGAGACTGAGACAGCCAGAGGAGACCAGGCAGAACAGAGAAGACCAGACAGACCAGAGACAGACCACAGACCAGAGAGAAAACCAGACAGACCAGAGACAGACCCAGGCAGACCAGAGGAGACCAGGACAGACCGGAGAGAGACCAGCAGACCATGAGAGAGACCAGGGCAGACCAGAGAGACACTAGACAGGAACCAGAGACCAGACCAAGAGAGAGACCGGACAAATAGAAAGAGACCAGACAAACCAGAATCAAGCAGACTAAGAGAGACCAACCAGACTAGAGAGAGACCAGGCAGACCAGAGGATAGCAGACAGTCCAAGAGAGACCCAACAAACCAAGAGAGACCATATAAACAGAGTAAAAAAAAGCAAAAAAAACAAGCACATTTATTTTTCTTCAGTTATATATTTTTTGATCTTTTGAACAATAATTGAAACTCAACAGACAGATAACAGAATCAAATCATCCACTCTTCTACTGTGTCCTTCACCTGTGATCACAAGCTGCTGTCAGAAGTTGAGAAAAGCTCACAATGCATTTATCCACTGGCGAACTATGGTGCCATATTGAACTTTGCCTTTCAGGGGTTTCTGTGCGCGGCCTGGCTGGTCTGGGTGGGCCCTCCGGCAATGTTGTTGCGGTAGATTTGCGGCTCGTTTGACTCGGGCAGCGAGGCCGTTGTTAGCCGACTCCACCAGAACCCAGCTCCTTGGGTCATGCGCTGATCGAGGCATTTGTGCCCAAAGAGGGACACTGACAACCCCATAAAAAAGGAATCGATCGAAAAGTGCTGTTTAGGACAATTTGCCTTCGTAAAAGCATATAATACGGTGTCAACCTCCCAAGTAGATGTAAAAACTATTAAAGTCATATTCCCTCAAAGGGGATATCTGCAACTGAAAAGGCCGAAGTGGACGATGCCAAACCCCTTTAGTTATTCGCTTCATTTGGACTCTACATCAAGCAAGCGGGTTAGCATAAACCATCTGTATACTGTCTAAGTTAGCGTTGTCCATCTGTAATAACATACAGTCCAAATGGCTTTACCTGAGCCCACTCTTTGTTCTCTCTGCTTCGGCGCCAGAGATCGAAGGCCACAGAGGTGACACCAAGGCTTTTAGTCCCGGGCCCGAGTCTGTGAGGGATGAGATGATGAGAGAAAACTGTCAATCAGAAGATCAATACAATACTATACAATATATTCTTGTATAGCCCTAAATCACAACAGTAGTCCATCTCAGAGGACATAACAAAACCATTGACAATCATCTATACACATCAGAGAAATCAACAGATACAAAAAAAAATATAGAGACATCCAACCAACTCCATTTTTCTGTCCCCTTAATCCATTCCTGGGTCGGGTGAGGTGGCAGTCTAGAGATGCACCCAGTACACGGAGCACCATCCAAAATCCTACAATGCCAGACAAATTAAGGAGAACACCTACAGGAAAATGCAACAGCACACAGTTTCTTCTGACTATTAAAGCCACCCTGTGTATTGTTTACAGTTGCGCATATGAAAAAACATTAACTACGAAAAAATGGTGACCTTTTTATTTGAATATTGCCTCCACCAATGTTTATGTAATTGGTTTTCATAAGCCAGTAGAGCGGAGTCCTCCTCGTGTCAATGTACATCTTGAAATGCCGTGGAGGATAGGGACAAAAAAGGATGCGAGAACACACAATTTTTTGTTTACTACAGCTAGCTGAATTGTTGCTTTCCAACGTCCTTCACAAGTTGGAAGAAGGAACCAAAGATGAGTCATACAGCAAAAATGACAACATCAGCCAACCACACGCAAGAAGACAAGTAAACACAACAGGAGGCACAATGTGAATGTTAGTACAACTTACACTGAACAATACGAAAACTTTTTCCACACTGACAAACTGAGAACAGGTAAAGAACTCCAACAACACAGCCTCAGGAAAAGTTTGTGTAAGCCCTCAGTCGCACAGGGATTAGTCAATGCAAAGGAAGGTTTCTCACCCATCAACTGTAGAATGAATCTTCATACAGTAGCAGGCTGACTGTGCCAACGGCGTACCGGGCAATGCCCGAAGGGCCGATGCCCATATTTGGGCGTCTGTCTGCCACATACAAACAACATGTGTTTTGTAGAAAAGTGTAAATCCCGTTGAGAAATGTTGAGGAGCGCGAGTGTCCCGCGGGGCACTGCTGTATTACTCGAAGACGGGATTCCACCACCTCAGCCCGCAGGGTTTCCGCATCCAGACGGCTCTGAGTCTTGACGCGGGAAACCCGCTTCACCGGGACCGCTCACCAACACAACGGCGAGGCGTAGCCGCACGTGACCATTTACCCAAGACCCATAAACGCGCACAGAACCAGCGTTGTCTTTTCGTAATTTGTGCACCAATCAACCACACCCGCTGCAGATAAACAGTCCGCGTCTCCCTCTCCTCGTAAAAAAAAGCCATTCCATTGCATTAAAAAGTCTCATCTTTGAGCCCCAAAATAAAATGGGGTGTGATCAGCATTAAACGATTTAGAGCCACCAATGCTGACAATATGCATTTCAGAATTTTTTATTTACCAATTCTCATCCCTGTAAACAAACAATATTGTCTGTGCCCACTCCTCCCTCTGAGCATGTTATTACTACTCTGTTTAATGTAGACTATTGAACTATTGTACCTGATCCTCTAACAGTATTTGCTTACCACATACTGTATAACCAGGTCGGCAAACCTTTAGTTCCCTATTGTGGCTCCTGGACCCTTTTCAAAAATGTCTGAAAATGGAGTGTGAGGCTATATTTTATTTCTAGTTTTCAATGTGGTTTCTGTAGGGGGAAAAACATTCTTTAACGTTTTTCAATGCTGCAAAAAAAAAACTTGTAATAGTAATAGTCAATTTTAATAACTGTGTGTGCGCATGGATCCCAAAGATAAAGAGAGTCGATAAGACTGACTAAGAATGAAATGAACATTTGCTTTCAGTCAATGAGGAAGGACTAGCTTCATGTTTGCGTGTAATGAAAAGATTTGTTGCAACAGGAGGAACACATGAAGCTTTAAACACGTTTCACTGAAGGATTAATTCATCAAGAAAGTCAGAGCACCTATTTTCAGACTTCAAAAACCTTCGCAAAGACGGTGAAAGAAAAGGCCATAAAAGGAATTCAGCTCCAGCAAACTTCAGCCTGTGATGGATAAGAACAGACTTGATGCAGGTGAACTCTGACAAAAAAAAACGATTTATTTACTGGTATTATTGGTACAATTGCAGAAAAAAACCAGGAAATATAATGATGAATTAACAGAAAAAAAAAAAACAAGGGTCAAAAAAAGTCTAAAACAGACCAAGAAAGAAGTTAAACTTAAAGCAGAGTTGTCACGTGGGTGCTCATTCTCTCCAGGACACGCCTGCAATGAAAAATACACATTTGATAATCATGAATGGTTTTTTATTGTTTTAGCCTTTACTTTGTCATTTTAGATATTAGTCCTAATATAGCTAATATAGCTTATTATAGACTAAAGTAGTAATACAGCTTCCAGCCCCTGTACCTTCATATAAGCTTATACAACGCTGTTGGTTTTTTCTTTTTGGTTTTTTTTGTCAAATAGGGCTCCTTGAAACCTTTTGAGTCGAATTGCCTGGCTGCTAAAAGATAAAATGCCCGGGCCGTTTTTTGTTTCCCGAGTCCAGCCCTGTACAGTAGTAAAACTTATCCCAAAAGTTTAAGCCAAAACATTAGAAACAGGCCAGTTATGGCAAGAAAAATACAACAAAACTACTGGTCCTGAAGATTCTCAATTTAAGAATTCGAACGATTTAACATAGAGATCTATAAACCTAAAAGACAGATAGATGCCTTAAGCACAAACTGGAATTGGCAGTCTAAAGGCCTAAATTTTGCAATAACCCCAAAAGATATTCCTACAATTGAATACATCACAGCAGCGGAAGCAGCCATTAGAAACAACAAACTAACTGAGAGTGAGGCAGGGGCCCTCAGACTGAGAGTCTCTGCCACACTCAAAAGTGCGAAGCCCCCACAATCCAATGTCTCATTAGATGAGCAAAAAGCATTATTGGCAATTACAAAAGGATGAGAATATAACTATTTTACCAGCTGACAAAGGCAGATGCACAGTTATCCTCAACAGCTCAGACTATGAGGCCAAAGTTAATCAGTTACTCTTGGACACCAACACGTACCAGCCATTGAAGAGGGACCCTACCAGTGGGTTTAGGAAAAAGATTATAGACTTCCTTCAGAACTTAATGAAAGAGGGCATTATTGAAAAACCACTATATTACAAACTTTACCCAGGAGACACCATCCCCAGTATTTATGGCCTCCCAAAAATACACAAACAAAACTTTCCACTTCGGCCTATTGTATGTAGCATAGACTCTATCACCTACAACCTGGCTAAACACCTCAAAACCATTCTGGCTCCTTTGGTGGGTAACACCCACCATCACATAGAAAACACAAAAGAATTTGTAAATAAAATCAAACACCTCCAGTTTGACACAGATGAGACAATGGTCTCGTTTGATGTGACATCGCTTTTTACGTCGGTCCCTATTACAGAGGCGGTGGAGGCTGTAAGAGAAAGCCTACAGAAAGACGCCACACTAGGGGAGAGAACGAAACTAACAGCTGACCACATCTGTGAAATACTTGAAATGTGTCTTAACACCACGTATTTCCAATTTAGAGGCACCTTCTTTAGACAGATTCATGGCTGTGCGATGGGCTCCCCAGTCTCTCCGATAGTGGCCAATCTGTATATGGAGAAACTGGAGGAACAAGCCCTGGGCTCTTACCAAGGGACAGCGCCAAGCCAAGCCATTGGTTTCGATATGTAGACGATACATGGGTTAAGTTAAAGAAACAGGAAGTGGAACCATTTTCAGCACACATTAACTCGGTGGACCCTTTTATAAATTTCACTCGCGAGGATGCTAAGGAGAGTGAACTCGCCTTTCTAGATTGTAAGGTCATCATACTGGAGAACGGACAATTAGAGACTGAGGTCTTCAGAAAGTCCACTCACACTGACCAGTACCTGGCCTTTGATTCGAATCATCCGCTACAACACAAACTCGGGGTCATTAGAACGCTTCAACACCGAGCCCACCAGGTCCCCACTAGCTCGGAGGGAAAGAACAGAGAAACCAAACATGTTCAGAGAGCACTTTCCAGATGTGGCTACCCCAAGTGGTCTTTTACTAAAGCCCAAAGGACGAGAAAGGCCAGAGACACAGTCCAACAGACAGAAGAAGGTAGAAGAAGAGGGGTGTCCTTACCTTAGCTGGCGGGAGTTTCAGAGAAACTACAAAGAATCTTTAGGCAACACAAAATCCCTGTGTATTTCAAACCTTTCAACACGTTAAGACAGAAATTATTACATCCCAAAGACAAAACACCCAGACACAAACAGAGCAATGTGGTGTATTCAATTAAATGTAGTGAAGAGGAGTGCACTGACCACTATATTGGAGAAACCAAACAAACTCTACAGAAACGACTTTACCAACATCGTAGAGAAAACTCTAGTGGGCCACAGTCGGCTGTTCATCTCCACCTCAAGGCCTCCAACCACACGCTGGATGACACAGAGGTTAAAATTCTGGCTCGGGAGAAGAATTGGTTTGAGAGAGGGGTGAAAGAAGCCATTTTTGTGAGGAAACACAAACCTTCTCTTAACAGAGGAGGAGGGTTAAGATTTGTTTTGCCTCGCAACTATGACGACATCCTAAAAAACAACGCCCTAACTTGGGACAAGGTCAGTGACATGCTAATGAGTTAGGAGGGGTGAGACCTGCACTCCACTTGAGCATCCCAGCAGACAATAGGTCTGTGACATGCTAAGGAGTTAGGGTCGTTAGCCTCAGCAGGGTCGTTAGACCTGCTCCCCTTCTACATCAAGCAGACCTGAGATTGTTTACGAGTTAGTATCAGGATTAGGGTGTGGCTTACCACACCCATAGGTTATAAATCTCCAACGCGCGGTCCGAGAATTCATTCCCTGAAGAAGTCCCCAGGTTGAGGACGAAACGTCGGGAAAACTTGCTAAGAAGTACAGATGATGGGTGAGAAACCTTCCTTTGCTTTGACTAATCCCTGTACGACTGAGGGCTTACACAAACTTTAGTTGTAAATATATTGAAATTAAGCAAGTTATACTGACATCCAATGAAGTATTTTGGATACAGTTATTCAAACTTACTGTTCTGAATACACAATCTTGGTACATGGATTCAACTTTTTCCCAACACTTTGCCCTATATGTTCAACTCAGGACTTGTATTGGATTGATACTACATGTGAAAAAGTTATATAATTTCTTTACCAATAAAAAAAATACACTAATTACATGCAAAGTGACATGTGCCAAGCCTTTGTTCGTTTTAAACACATGTTATATTCACATGTTTTATTTGGGGTTTTTACAAGGCAAGGCAAGGAAAGGCAAGTTTATTTGTATTGCACAATTCATACACAAGGCAACTCAAAGTGCTGAACAAAACAAGATAGAAACAGTCACACAAGGCCTTACAATCATACATAATATAAAAAGATAAAATCCCCACAAGCTTTGAGGCAATTATCTACATCAGAACACATAAAGAATTGATATTTGTCACTTCTCCTGTAATGAGTCAAGTTTCACATTGTAAGTAAATGGACTGTGGAATGATAATCTAATTCACCGAGTGTCACCTGTTTATGAAAGACAGCTGAGGTGATTTCCCCGCTGCTGATTATTTACTGCACATGACACACGACACAGTCTTTTCAGGTGTAATTGGTTTTGTGGACATGATGCCCGGGGTCACTTCCACTCTCTTACATAAGTGGTAAAGGTCAAAGCAGCGGATCAACAAACTCCGGAGGACGAGGGCACACAACAACGTTACAATACATTGGGTTTATATGGTTGATGTTTTGTGTTTCCTGGTGACTTTTCAGGCAACCTTTCAGACAAACAAGTGGCTGTATGCGTGAGGTATTGTAAAAAATATATATATAAAAATTGTAAAAATACACCCTTGTGGATTTACCGTTTGGGGCGGAGCTCAGTGTCATTCTTGCGTGTTGATTTCTGTGTGTTTTCCTGAATGATATCACCCTGGAGCCCTTGGATGCATAGTCGTCCATATTGTATGCCAAATGCAACAAGCGATAGTGCACTTTTATGGACTTTTTCTCAGGCCATCCATATTCACGGAAAAGGATCTGAACACAACAAGATTAGACAAGTTAAAAAAACGTCTGATGTGTGTACAACATGCAATATCGTATCGTATGGCGTAACTATGCTTGTCACTAACCAAGAGAGTCACACATAAGCCCAGAATAATCACCGCTCCAAACACCAGTCCACCAGTCACAAACCAGTCAGGCTTCAATAACAGCCTGCGCCGCTGGGTGATTCCCACTCTGTTTAAATATCGGGAAATTGAAGAAAAGAATGGCCCTGGTTCATAGCACTGACTGTCTGCTGGCATCACACGCACAAACTAAAGGGGAGAAAATAACAATATAATTGTAATTACTTTAGGCCGGTTTATAAGGTTTTCATTTCAATTGAACGGAAGCACACCAGACTCCACCTATATCCTCGAGTCTACATGCTCAGACTGGACTGATGAAATATGGGTGCTCCTGCTTAGTTAGAATGAAAACCTGCAGCCACTCGGCCTCTTGTGGACCGAGTTGAAAACCCGTGCTAGAGTGACTCATCATACTTACCATGTGTCTATGTTCATGGCTGCTAAGTTTAAATGCATAAACTCCAGGCTGGTTGAAGACAAATGAAAAGAGGTTGGGAGGGGTCCAAGACAAGGAGAGCTCCTCTTTCAGTTGTCGGAAAGCACCCCAATCAAAAGCTGGATTTGTGTTGTATAAGTTATCACTAAAACAAAGTGTGTGACATGAGCAGAACATGGTGGTGTATTCAAGTTCAACATATGATTTCACTCATAATAAAAGACTTACATGTCATACTCAGGGTAGTAATTTGGAGACACTGTGAATAAGATTACATCCCCAAGCTGAAGACACGTTGTTGGGTTTAAAATTCCCTTCGGTCTCCTGTCTATTTCTTTAAATTGACTCCAGTTCCCCCTGCTGCTGGCCACATTCATTTCACCTTCTGTGTGACTAATATTTCCTGTTTGAGAGGCCTCCCACAGAACACTTTCTAGGAGGGCGATCGCAACAGTCATTACACATTTATGTCCATGTAAATTATGCATGTGAGGCCTCGCAGTGTGACAAACCCAGGAAGCGCTCCGTCTCTTGTTGTGTCGTAATGGGAAATAGGTGGTTCAGTTCTTCTGGAAGGCCGCTAAGGAGACCAAAGAATCCTTCCTCTGTAATCACAAAGGATGTCACAAATGTTCCAAACAATGTTCAACAGTGAAAGCAAACACAGAAACAGAAACAAGCCAGCCCTTGTTAGTGTAGTGAAAGTGTGCAGACCTGTTGTCCGAACAATGTAGACTGGACGTGAGATGTTGAGCTTCCGGCTGCACTGAAGAGTCTCCAGGGGATCCCAGCGTAAGAACAGTGTCTGCAGCACTCTGCCGGAGATGGACGACACCTGAACACAATGAGACAGCTTACCTTTAATAGGTCACTGCAACAGTCCAGACACATGTGCTCAGCTCCCACTGTTGGTGCAATAAAAGCTGTATCGTGAAGCTTTTGTTTTTCAGGATGACGTGGCAGGGACAATGCACCATGGTCACATTCATAAATGTATTACTTTTCCAAAAAATAAACTATGTCATGGGCCAGGTTTCCACTCGTAGTCCACAGGTTGATGATTAATGTACAATAAAACAATTGTACGCACGCACACACACACACAGACACACATATATACACACCTACACACACTCATACATACTCACACAGGTTGATCTAAGTGTGGTGGTAGGCCCCTTGAGCCGCTGGTAGCCTATCGCGTACCGCCTCACCCTTTAATAGGTAGTTAGCGCACCTGCGCTCCCTCTTGCCTCTGACGTCACCCACTGCCTGGGAGCTTGCAGCAGCATGAGCTGGAGCCTCGCCAGATCTGTATTTCACAATTGAATCCAGCATCACTTGCTCTTCAGTGAGTATTTGCGTTTATTCAATAAAGTGGTGTTACTGTGGTGGACTAAAATGCTCCATTTCCCTAGTTCGCATTACACAGTGCAACGTATGGCTTGGCTCTAATCTCGTGGCTCATGCTGCAGGCCACTCCACCAAACAGCCCCGGTAAGCTGCCCTGTGTGCACAATATCAACTTGAGTCCTTTCTAACTTGCGCTGGTTACAGTGCGCAGCGTCAGGCAAGTGCTTACGCACAACAGGTGCACCAGCCTGTGGCACTGTGGCTGTGCTCAACTCCGGTAAGGCCTTCCTCTGTTAATTATTTCATCGGATTTATTTAATTAGTTACCCTATTTATTACTCTTTAGTTTGGCTTCGGGTCAAACCATTCCAATGGTCTGTAAGTTGCAGCACGGTGCCACTGAAGCATTTTAATTTGGGTAAGTGCCTGGGAAATATGTTTTCTTGGAATGCTGCATGTTTCCACCCCAATGCAGGATTTAATCACCGAAATTTCTAACTTTTAGGACCGTATTCCAAGCGGGTCTCTCCTTCACCCTCTTCATCCGCTCCTCTCCTCTCCCATTTGAGCCAGCGGCTGGTACTGGCCAGAGTGCACCCAGTCCGCGGGCCCCTGTCCTCTCAACGGTTGACTTGACTCGGACTGGACTAGGACTCGGACGGGACTGGGACTCGGACGGACCGGACAGCTGCCGAGTTATACCAGCGTGCGCGCTGACGCGCGCACCAGGCCAGTCACTGTGCGGACCAGCGCGAGCCTCCGGTAGGACAGTAGATGGTGGGAGTTTGCATTTGGGGATGATGTTTTGAATGTTATGTATTTTGGGATAATGTGATAACGTTTTGGGAGAATGTTTTAATCTTGGACTAATGTTATTAATTAAATAATTGTGTAGAGCTCATTTTAAAAGAACCAAAACCTTTTTCGTAAAAGTGTATCTCCAACGTTATTGTGAATAAATTGAATCATTTTCTTATCTGCGTCTCTTGGTCCACTCAATCACGGACGTGTGCGTCCTTGTGAGTTTCCCTATTAAAATATAGGGTGGCGTTGCTATTTTTCAAGAATCAGTGGTTAAAATCATTAGTTGGAGGTATTAACTGTAACCCGGCCATTACATAAGGAAAACCATTGCTTTGGTCAGTAAGGGTGTGAGGCATTCGTCAACATTAAAAAAACATATTGATATTTTTGAAATAGCTACATTATTATTATTTTATCTTGTATCACTCTCCTTTGACTGTGGACTGTGGAATGAATACTTATTATTATGAATTGTTTTGTGTCACCTGGTTCTCATGTCTCCAGACCAGTTCAAGTTCCCCGTTGGATTTACAGTCGAGGTTCAGTTCTTCTGTGACTCTGCGCCGACACAGAGGTCCACATGAGGCTCTCTCACTGAGCTCTTTGCATAAACAAAGGCCCAGCTCACGGTCCACGCCCCCAAAGGCTTCTGCTGACGGACATACCTGCACAATATCAGCAAATATCATTTATTATATGTAAATATCGGCAATAAAAAGCTAAATAAACTGTTTTCTTTACATGTTATATAATACTATGTATTTTTTATGAATACCCTTAAATTCAATACATGGTTGAGGCTAATCTGACAATAATTGTTCTCTTCTACTATCATAATCTTAAACATTAAGAGCGACAGCCAGTAGATGCCTAGACTTATTATTGTAGAGTTCATGGAAAAGGGCAAAGACAGCTGGGTTGTTCTCATTACTCTTGTGTCATTGCAGTGTTTACAGCAGGTACACAACCGATTTTCCACAAAATGATCCAGCCCATTTAAACTTTTCAGGACACACCAATAAAACATTTTAATATAAAGGATAAAGATTGGTTTTGTACCGGCGATTTCAATAAAACATTTAAATTACTGTGTGAATGATTCCAGCATCAGGGTCAGAGCGTGAACCTTTCACCCGGTTTAAATTAGGCCATTACATCACATCTTACCTGGCGCTCACAGTGGACAGACCACTGATGCCGGTCCAGACACTGTCCATGCTGTGTACGGCTCTTCCCATGGTGACAAAGATCATACACTTTCAGAGCACACACGTTGTCATTGGAGGGCTGATAGCCCAGAGAGCAAAGGCACTGCGCATCACTGGCCTGGAACAAGTTCATAAGTTATATAACTTTATGACAAGACACAGTAAAACTATAAATCATGGTAGATAATGTTTATTTGTCCACAAAAGTACTATGCAAAAAAGTTAGAATCTAAATTCTATGTAGTCAACAATTGAGAATCTAAATGAATTTGTATCTTTTGATGAGGGAGAAACCCCGGATGAGTGAGGACAGGAAACAGGACTCTGCTGTGTCACTCAATACCCGCACTTTCAACTTGCAGCTACAGATTGTTTCAGGTCGGGTTTCAGATAAACGTGATGCGAAAGCAAGTCTCCGGAATGCAAACACACTCACACATCTCCAGGCTTAAGACACATAACATTCTTTCATATTTGGGGCTTATATTGTACACAGCATAAAAAGAGCAAAGGACAAATGTTTGTCATTGTGAACCAAGATGATAGGTCTGCACAGAAACACACAGCAATGTATTGGGGTAGGTTAAGCCCTCAAACACAGGGGTAGTTAGAAACATAAATGTAAACATGCCAGATTATAGTCAAAGGCTGATTTCCATCTGTAGTCCCATCGGGTTAGGGTCACTTGGGTAAATCAGTAACATCAACAAAATCAAATGAAAAAACAGCTTGTTTTCGTACAAAGGCCACTGTCCACATAGTAATAGTCCACCAAGATCCACAATGTTAGAGTCCACATCATTGCACACATCCCACACATGCTCACATCAAATTATTGCACACATACAATCATTACAAACATCTCGTTTTTGCACTCACAGCTGGAAGCATTTAGTCACCTGGAAGTGTTGGCCCTCCCCTAGGCACACACAGGTGTCTTGACCTGAGAGAGGCTGCTGAGCAGCTGGACCACAAGGCAGAGGCAGAGCCAGGGCTGCTCTGGGACAGTAGTGATGTGGGGGACAAGCCAAACATGTATTTGAGAACACAACACCAGGGTTAGGCCCATATGTTCCCACTGGACATGGGATGGGAATGAGGGTCTTTGGTGAGCAGTAGAAACCTGAAATAAAAACTTTCACATTTATTATATTTTCATTGTGCTTGGGCGGAAAAGGTGCCTTGCCCTCTCCAGGTGGGAGAGACGTCCTTCCTCAAGTGGAGAAGTCACACAAGAAAAGCTCAGAATAAAGCTGCTGCTCCTCCACTTAGAGGGGATCCGGTTGAGGTTGCTTGAGCACATGTCTGGGATCTGGACGCCTTCATAGGGGGTGATCAGGGCCTGTCCCTCTCGCACTATGTCTGAGCTGGAGGAAGTATGTTTGAAGAGGACAGTCTGGCCGTTTCTGCTTAAACTGCTGCATCCTCGACCGAACGAATAAATCAGAAGGATGATTGTTGCCTTTTAGTCTTTTTTGGTGAAATCATCACATAGTGATAACTGGAGTGGTAGGTATTTTTAGACAATGACTGTAAAATCTGATCTTTCTGATGACTATTTACCACTTCAGTGGAAGGTAAAGAAATTGGGGCAAATGGGTAGTGATAAGACCTATATCATTATGGCTAAAACAGAATAAAACATGGGCCAATTAAAACGTTCCAGGTCAGGTCCAGGCAGAGCTATGTTTAAAAATAATAAAACACACACAAACATACTGTATACCTTCATAGTTGCACTAAAATCAAACAGGCATCACAACGTCCGTACATGTTGCATCACAAGAGCTATTTCAGAAACATTCACTTGCTTGTTGCTTACCTGCTTGGCAGACTGGTTTCTTGTTGAACTCTTCACTTTCTTCATTATTTCCTTCAGTTAGAATGAAGCAGGCAAAAGTTAGTATCAAACTTGAAGCTACCACTGTCTCATGTGCAAAAAGATACATTCTAAATAAATGGGTGGCCTGAGTCTCTAGCCAACCTGTTAAAATAGTGAATATATCACATAATGGAGGTAATGGCAGACGGAGCGGACCACAGGCTGCATCACTTTCACTGTTGAATAATTGATCATTACCACGAGTTAAGGTGACACCGATAGTGAAGGAATAATGAACCTATAATCTAATATAACAAGGGGGATCATTTTCAGGATGTCAGATTTTGTACTAATTGGACTCTAACAATGTGTCTCTGCACATTTTCTGCATTCAAGTGGTATCACTACAGAGGTCATGGGTTCCTGTTTGCTGTTGACAGTGTTTGTCTGATAACATGCTTCACCTTTGCTCCAAATTTCAATAAATTGTTACTAATAGGAGATTTGAAAGCATTTTTTCAACAAGCGAATTACCATGCATGCATATTTGATATCTTTAATATCTTATGAAGGCAAGATTTATATGAAGTACTACTGTACTCCAATTAAGTCCCCTATGGCCTACATATCAAGTAACCTCGGACTATGACCCATCAGTGACGTTTTTTCTTATCTAACCACCACGCTCTTCAACTTTCACCCATAATAAGTGGTTTTCTCACATGTGACATACACTGCATAGGCATAATTACATTGCATAGATATTATACAGGGAATGTACGTCCCAGCCAAAGTTTTGCTTTAGCCTGTGAATGAATTACATGATTTCCAAAACAAGGTTGCAGTCAATCTATTGAGGTTATGCGGTTCATTCACATTAAAGCTGTATCATGTCATTTGTTTGACTTGTCTTCTAACTTAAGTGTGTACTGTGTACTTAAGTTATAGGTAAAACAAACTAAATACAATCCATACATTTTATTTAAATAACATAAATAAAAATAAAAAGATAAGAATATATTTTCACCAAACATTCTCTGTGTTTTGCTGAGTAGAGAATAAAAAAGTGAAGGTGACGTTGTATGTTACGGTTAAAGGTCTGAGGTTTTATTTCAATGATTGCGAGTCACTGTTGTGCTTGCTTGTATGTGTTTTGTCATCCGTGACCCTCCACGTGTTGCCTGTTGACATAAGCAGGGTTTGGGAAGCAGCTCTGATAACACTGCTTATAAGAGTGCAGAGAGGAGAGAGAGCTTCATTAGATCCCAGTCATAGACCACACAGCTTACAGATCCAGAATTCATTTTATTTAATTCATTTCTTCATTCAGAAAGAACATGCTTTTTAGATGTATGCTATGTGCACTTTCAATCTGGCTTGTCTCAGGTATACATAGTGTGTGCGTGTGATTTGGTTTCCTCCATTTAAATTACCTACCTTTCTAAAAAAAACCTCTTTTTTTTTTAGCCAACCCACTCCATCGTTTCTCCAGAGAAGCTCCATGGGCAGAATCCAGATCAAATCAGGCCCATGTTAAAACAGAAGCGTCCAAGAGCATGGAGTAAGTGGATACATTAAATGAAATACACAATACTAGATCACCCCTTAACTTACACAAGGGTGAATTTGTCTTTCAGTTCGAGTTACAAAAGCCACATCGACAGCAGCAGCCTTTACATCCAGGAGGCCAAGCACCAGGTGGCTGCAGAGGTCCAGCACAAGCTGAGCTTGGAATCAGAGCGCCTGAGAGTCCGCCTTCACCAGGAGCTGGCGGAGCTCAGGGAGAAGCTGTCACCGCCTCCATCCCACATCAGCTCTTCTGTGAGGGACCTAAGGGAGCGTCTTGCCCCTCTTGTGATGCAGCTCCAGACCTCCCTGACCTCCAACACACAGGAGCTGTGTGTCCAGGTGCGTCTGTACCTCCAGAGCATAGAAGCTGCTGCCCCTTCAGCTCCGGATGGACAAACGCTTCAGCAGAAGATCTTACAGAGAATAGGCTTGACCCTGGACCTCAGCAGCTCCAAGATGGCAGACATCATTCAAGACTTTGACAGTGAAGCCAGCAAGGTGATGGGAAACTTTAAAGATTTAGAGCCAGCCCGTTCAGAGGTGTGGCAGAAGTTTAGCTCCAGACTATCACAAGAAGTAGGCTCTCTGCAGATGGAAGCACAAAGCAGAGTGGAGATGCTTCTGGAGGAGCTGTCTTCTCTGCAGACGTCTTCACAAGGGTTTGAAGACGGAATGAGCCCAAAGATGGAGCGGTTCTGTCTCAATGCTGTTCTTCAGAACCAGCTGTTTTCGGCAATAATGGAGAGACTGTTTGTGGATCTAGGAGAGCAGTTAGCGGCCACAGAATCTGCTCAGACTCCAGCCTCTTCCTCTCCACACGGTGGATCACTGCAGGGCGACTTCTCTCACGAACTGTCTTCCCTCCTTCAGGACATTGTGCATTCTGTGCAGTGAGTTCCACTAAACTATTCAGATCTTTTTACCATCAATCCATCCATAATTTTTTTCTGCTTTATACGTTGGCCGGGTTGCAGAGGCAGCAGTCTTCATGAGACTTCATACTTCCCTATCCATGAACACCTAAAAACAAAACTAAAGATTTGTTGTACATTATTTTTCATGTGTGTGTATATACAGTTGTGTTTTAAAAAAAATATTTAAACGTTTTGAGTTTGATTTATTCATTCTTTGTTCTGTGAATTGTTGTGCATTGTCGCATACATAGGGTGTTGATTATCTCACACACTGGTTAAAACTTGGATGGGAGACATTTCAGCCATATTAACAGTGTGGTGTCTGTGTGAATGATTGTGGTGGTCAGAGGGGAAATGGTGTGGAACAGGGCCGTAGGGTAGACAGCAGTAAGGTGACAGAAGCGAGGCTGGCTCCTGTTAGTCTTCCCTAGGGCAGCTGGGACTGGAGCAGACGTTTGTTAGTGAATGGAGGATTTTGTAAAGTCCTCTACAACAAATGCTATTATGAATTATGGCTATACATATTCAACTGAAAATCATTTACCCTCAAATGAGACCAATATGTTTGCTTATTATGTTAGCCATGAAAGTTAAAATGGAATGACATTTAAACTGTAACAATAATATCAACTGTATAAACTGCTCATGGGTTAGATTTGAATGTAGCTAATGAAGGAGGACGGAAAGAAAGGAAAAAGGTAAAGACAGAGTTGTAGAAGGAGGTGGGGCCAGACGTTTTTGTACTTTTTCCCACTCCTATTAAACATGCACTTGCTCATTATTTCTATCTGTGCCTTAGCATAATGGTTGTCCAAATAAATACATTGATTCATTAATTCACAGTGTACAGTGAAAATGAACAATCCAATTAAACGTGTGTTTGAGGTAACAACAGTATTTTTATTATAGTTATGAATGGTCGGCATCATCTTTAACAAGAGCTTCTTTTCTTGGAAATAAAAGTGCGAGCCGTGACATAAACACTCAAAGGTCATTTAGATAATGCATTAAGATCATTTTTATCTCACTTTCAGTCGTTCAAGTTTACAATAACACACATGTTTTAATCTAAAGAGTTATGCATATTATTATCATCATTATTTCTTTGTGTCACTCAAAGGAGCTCCAGCGAAACCTTTTGAGAGCAAACCACCCAGATAGCACCAGCAGCAGAGCCACAGCAGACCCCAACACCACGCCCACAATCAGCCCAGTCTCATTCAGACCACTTTGGCCTGCAGGACCTGAGCACCAAAAGAAATACAATTAAATCCTATACAACAACAACGCTAAACTTAGACGATAAAACAAACTGTGACTCACTGGTTTGTGCCTTTGGTTGTTCTGTAATTGTTCAGAAGTGTCACTTTTTTGAGTGTTTTTAAGGAGTAATTGTGTTTCTTACCCTCTGTAGCTGTATAGATAGGTCCAGCAGAAACGGTGGCTGAATCTCTGCTCTCTTGTCCGAAGGGAGTCGCTGATCTTTTCCTCTTACGGTTGCATCCCTGATGAAAATGTTAGAATCCACACAATAAAATGTATATATGCCATACATTATTTAAAACCCTTACAACAAGGATGTCCTGGCACTTATTGGGTTCACACAGTCTGAGTATACAGTGCAGGTAAATGCTGGACTGCGACTGAGCTCGGTGCTGAAGAAAACGGAACGCCTCAAAGTCAAATCGGGCCACTTTAGACATTCCATTGATAGTAATGGTTGCTTTGTCATCATTTGAGCAGCTGGGGAAAACACACTGAATCACATGAACAATCCAAACATGCTGCATTTGACCTATATTTTGAGAACATACCCAATAAAAAAGTTGTGCTGTTCACTGTGCGTCAAATTGTATGCCGTCGGAGTGGCGAAGCAGTGATCTAGAAGGACATTAAAACTGGAAGGAGGGAGTAGGGAGCCATTTTATTCATGCAAAAAAATCCTATTGTAACGTTAACATTTTTAATTTTATATAAACATACTTTCCAGTCAGATTTACTGCTTTGACTTCTACATAGACTCTGTCTCGCAACTGCAGTCCTGTAGGTGGCACTATCAGAGGATATTGGTAGGAAGAGTCCTGTGAATATTAACAAATGTAAATGTACAAACGTCAAACCCCTTAGCCATAAAGTGAATCTTATCTCATATAGGCAAAACTCAGAAAATGCAATAATGTTCAATAGTTCTTATTTTTCTCATACCTCAATTTCAAACCGTAAATTAGAAGTGGACTGATCGAGTGCTGACGTCACCCATAGTGTTAGCTTTAATGTGGAGGGCCGGTTTAAACATAAGCTAGCTGGACCATCAAACAGAACCAGGCATATTACCAGGAAAGTTGCTGAGGCAAGCTGGAGTCAACCCCTAAAATAGAGGCATCTGATTGGTCAATCCAATGCATTTACAAATCCAATGACACAATCTATGCCCCAGGGTCATAGAGAGCACTAAACCACTTTCCAATGTAAGTCAATAGGAGCCAGAGTGAGGTGGAGTAAATCTTTGTCCATGAGCACTTCCCTACTGGGCTTCATTGAGCTAGTGGGTTAGCATTGCCCATCTAAAGTCTAGGAATTCCACTTAAATTGTGAAACCAATGTATGGTATAGAATTATTACATGCAACGTGACATATTTTTTTAATCAATGTTAGTGATTAAGAATGACCGTCCATTTTCAAAACATTCTAATATTCCGAGTTTTACCTTGAGTGCTGGGAGAGTGAATGCAAATGCACAGTTTATACTTACATTGTGTACAGTCATCCTTAGTGTGTTGACAAAAGTTCCATTGTTGTCTTTTGTGGCCACAGAGACAGACGAGCTAGATAATCGTATGATAATTGAAGTGTTAGTCAAGTCAATGGTGAAAGCCTTTTGGTGGATGAAGAGGAAGAGGAGGAGGAAGAGGGGCTTACGCTGTGATTTGCATGTTGTTGATGAGGTATTCCAGAGGGTAGCGGCAGGAGAAGTGGTAGTACAGGTCTGTGGAGTAGCTGATCGTGCCTTGGCCTGTACGGGGGGTTTCTATGTAGCTGGTGATGATAACTGACTGTACACTGGAGTAGGAGCTGAAGGGCCCTGAGGGGTCTGGAGCCTCATCCACAATCTGAAATATTACATACTGTACGTGCATCAAGTACACACACACATGTGACAGTCATCAAATTAGAATATCCTTAAAAAGTCCATTTACTTCTGTACTTCAATTTACAATGTGGGATTAAAATAATAGATTAATTGATCTAGATTGATCAAGACATTTTTATAAGGTTGGTAATTGGCCACAATTTAAACCAAATAAAATATCTTGAAAATGGAGTTAGCCATACTCATTGCTGCAATAATTGTGTTTGTCCAATAGAAAGAGTCTGGTTAAACTTCAGAACACAATAAGTCATCTTTATTTCTTTAGAACATTTACATACTGACAGCTGATTGACTGAGAGGGGGTGGTCTTCTCTTAAAAACTGATAAAAACTGGTCTAAAGTTGTGACAGAGGCCAACAATACACGCATGTGAAACAGCGAGCAAGAAACTAGTGACTCAGATTGTAATACATCATTCATTTGTTCAGAGTTTGGTTCTCCAGCTTTAAAAGAGCTCCAACTGAGTCCATGTCAGATTTAACTAAAGACTCACAATCTTCTTATCCCCAGAAATGTGTTCTTGAGATCTGTGTGTTTTATATTTTTATGGACTGTTCAAAGCTTCGATGGGGTTGCATGTAATTGTATGAAATATGCTAAAATATAAATGCATTGAACTGATTATAGATCTTCTGACTGCTCAGTGGGGGCAGAAATGCACTCTTAATATTGTTGTTATTTGACCCTGCATGCCTACTGTAATAGGACTGATCCAAGTGCTAAACTGTGTGTTAGGTGGTTTAGTTACGTGCACATGCATACAAATCAGTTTGATAATCATTCTAATAGTAGAAATAGATGTCATAGTCGCCAGAGGTGGAGTAACAGAAAGAAGACTATAAACAAGTAGACTATAAATGTTATTGCAGACGTTATAGAGCTGTTGTTGACAATAAGAACAGTGTAAATGAGTGTAGTACAATACATCTACTTTCTTTCCTGTTATACCAACAAAGACATTTTACTGGTGTCACCTGCAGAGACTGGCGGCAGGGGTTGTCCAGGCTGTGGTTGATGGGCAGATGGTAGCGCATCACTGGAGGGCTCACACTGGTATCAGTCGTGCCCAGACACTCCTGCTTATTGTGGTTTCCATTTAAGGCCAGGTCTGTGGTGTTGAAGCCTGCCCACTGCGCTGTGCACAGGTTAATCTCCAGAGTGATGATTATGGTTCCGCAGTCTACTGTCAAGTCTGAATTATCTAATGAGGAAAAGAGCCAAGAGTTAAACAAGAAGTTGTGACCGTTTGTACAGGTGAAAATCGGTTTAGAATATTGTTCAAAAGTCTACTTCTGTAATCTGGGTTACAATGTGAAACTAAGATATGTCTAATTTGTTAATGTGTTGATAATTTTGGACCACAGATTTTAAAAACTCCAAATTAAATATCTCAAATATTTAGAATAGTTTGAAAAAGGACTGTAAGCTATAAATATCAAAATTATACAAACCTAATATTAAGTGGAAATACAGAAATGTGTTACCTTTCCGAATTATCCAAATAAATGAATCCTATTCTCTGATAATAATCCCGTTGATATTGCTACTAACACAATATTGTATGTTTATGCTTTAACAATAACCATTGCATTAACATACCTGGAGTCCTGTTATATTCAGTAGAGCAGTTGTATGTAGCGCTGGCAAGCTGCACCAAAACAGCCAGCAGAGGGAGCCATACACACATTCTGCAATTGGTATGACTGCTGAAGACTATGTTAGATTAGAACACAACATTGTTAGAACTATATCATACAATTATAATAATATCATGTTAAATGCACTATATCAGAGAGCAAGAGCGTCTTACCTATAACTAGTGTCTTCACAAGTGGGTAACGCTATTCTGCCAGAAGAGCTTTTATAATGTTAGACACCTAAAACCATAGAGGTGTGACCAAGAAGTCCTCCCATCAACCAGCCAAATATGGACCAAATACACCAATAACCAATAAAGGGGCATATATTATATATAATGAGGGACAGTAGCTCAGTTGGTAGAGCATTGGCCTTTGGGCCTGGAGGTCGTGAATTCGAGCCCACCATGGGACCTACTCCAACTGATCCCACTGATGTCTACTGTCGTTGTGTCCCTGGGCAAGACACAACCTTGTTGCCTGAAGCCCCCGCTGAAAGACCAAGGCTGTTTCACCACTGGCCGAGTAGCCATCTTCCTGTAGACTCACCACCTAAAGAGGATCAGCGAGGGACTGGTGCTATGAGCATTGGGGGGCAGCTCTCATTGCCACCCTCCTGACCCAGAAATGGACTAATAAAGGGGTTGAAAATGAATGAATACAATGAGGTATACCAGTGGTGACAAGGCGATTACATTCAAATGGACACTAATCAGAGCTGAGAAAATTGTTTCGTTTGGTGAGAATGCACTAATTTAAGTGAAAAAAATCCATCACTTTCAACCCACACAAATTATATACTATAGTCTGTGACTGTACTCATAGACAACAGTCTATGAGTAGAACCCATTATCGTGACTTTCTCATTTGTATCAAAAATGTTAAATCATTAAACCAATTTAATCTAGGTAGTAATCTATTGATGAAATATTTTTGTACAGACGTTTGGAACTCACAAAAGGAGGTTGTGATATGTTATAGTTCACAGACGCCATATTTGAGGGAGATATAAGTCTTGAATAGAGGAAACCTGATCGGTTTTGCCATCGGCAATGGGGGACACAGCCAATCCTAAGAAACCTTTGTTAATTTTGTCTGGCATGACAAACCTGGACTGTATTGTCTGCACACTGCTGTCATGCAGATACTATATTCTACAGTGTGTAGCTATGGGCCACAACTACTGCACTTTGTCATAAGAAGCCTATTGTCCCACACAAACGCACCATGATAACAATAGACTGTTTGCCCATGGTGAGAGTCGATACTATATCTCTAGACTTTGTCAAACAAGTTACTACTCTCAGTGGGTAGTGAATGTTTGGCTCTTGTAGTTAGTTTTTAATGTTTGGTGTAAGTAATCAGCCATATTTACATTTGTTGAATTATACTATAAATAAACTAAAAAACCTTAGAAAAAGATTTCACTGCACACTTGTTGCACACTGTGATGCCCTTTACTATTGTGCAAAGTGACATTCACTTTTACTGTGCAAATTCCACGAAAATGGTGGTCAAACTGTGCAATATTGATCCAAAATGCACAATTTTGAATATGATTTTTTTTTTTTACTAAAAAAACTTAGAAAACCACACTGCTCCTCCTGAATCCGAGATTTGACCATCGGCCGTAGCCTCCTCTCCAGTACCTTGGAGTAGACCTTACCGGGGAGGCTGAGGAGTATGATCCCACGATAATTGGAACACACCCTCCGATCCCCCTTCTTGTAGAGAGGGACCATTGGCACCGCCCCCGATCGCCACGCGATGTTGCAGAGACGTGTCAGCCAAGACAGTCCAACAACATCCGGAGACTTAATATAGTCAGGACGGATCTCATAAACTCCCGGCGCCTTGCCACCATGGAGGCTGCCAACCACCTTGGTGACCACAGCCATGGAGATGGAAGTATCCGCCCCAACATCCTCAGCCTGACGGGGGGATTGAGGAGAACCTCAAAGTATTCCTTCCACCGCCCGACAATATCCCCAGTTGAGGTCAGCTCTCCACCCGCACCGTACAAGGTGTTGGCAAAGAACTGCTTCCCCCTCCTGAGGCGCCGGACGGTTTGCCAGAATCTCTTCGAGGCTGACCGATAGTCATGCTCCATGGACTCTCCGAATTCCTCCCAGTCCCGGGTTTTTGCCTCTGCAACAGCCCGGGCCGCGGCACGCTTGGCCTGCCGGTACTGGACAGCTGCCTCAGGAGTCCCCCGAACCATCATGGCTCGATAGGACTCCTTCTTCAGCCTGACAGCATCCCTTATTCTGATCATTTCACTGCTTCACTCTCAATGTCAGAAAACGCATAATTACACAACTGGTTCTCCCCATCATCCATTACGCTGACGTCATTTATCAAAACACATTTCCCTCCCATCTCAAACCACTCAATACACTTTTTAACTGTCTCTGTAGACTCATTCTCAAATGTCCATATCGCACACATCACTGCACTCTATACAAGAACCTTCACTGGCTTCAGCCTTACAACAGACGTCACCTTCACTTATTATTTAAATGTATTCACTTTAGTTGTCCACAATATTTAAAACAGTTTTTTGTCCGTCTTTACACCTTTTTCACTCCGAAGCTCTGATTATTTCACCTTTTCTGTTCCAAGAGTTTTTAAAGAAGTTGGACGCAGATCATTTCAGTACAAGGCTCTATCAGACTGGAATAAACTCCCCACATCCATACGGTCCATTCTGTCTTTTGGTTTATTTAAGTTTGAATTATTTAGGTTCCTTGAAACTCCTTGTTTATGTCACTAATGTTCTGTATTCTGTATGTCATTATTGTTAACAGTTTTACTTTGTCCTTTTATAAATGTTTAATTTTAGCAGAAGGGAGGAGTGGGGTGCGAAGAAGCATTGGTTTCATTTTTGGTTTTGGTTTTTTTGGTTTTTAGGCCCGAGCCCCGAACGGGGAAAGGGCCTATTGTTTTTGCTCGAGAGATGTCAAATTCGGGCGTTCTGCTCTCCCAAAATTCCATCCACTGAGCGGCGCTGTGATCAAAAAATGACACCGTTTGTTGCCCAGTTCACTTCCGGTTGATTTCATACAATGGCGAATATGGCTCACGAAAACAACAAGCAATTGACAGTGCCTGAATTGCGTGAAAGGTTGAAGCGAAAGGGTATTTGCAGTGTGGGAAAACGAAAGGAGGAATTGTTGTTGCTAGTTCAACGAGCGGATGGTGTTTATGAAGATTTAGAAGAAGATGACAGCGAGCAGAGTGAACGAAAACGGCTGTGTGTGCGAGTGACAGATGGTAACAATGAGAATGAAGTTCAGCTAAGAGGGAAGAATGTGAATTGGACGGATGATTTGCGCGATATGCCACTAGTTAGAGACGGGAATGTATTTGCATAATGTAAAATGACGAAAACACTCAACCATTTAGAGAAAATGCGCCGGGCAGAGAGAACCGGAAGTTGCGAAGGCAAGTGTTACCCATAATGCAACGCAAAATTCAGTCGCTCCCCCGCCCATCGGATGGAATTTTGGGAGAGCAGAACGCCCGAATTCTGCACTTTGAGCCTTAATTTCACCCCCTGAACATGCATGAAAAGCTGTAACATTTTGCCCAAACATCAGACCTGGTGAAAAATGTGATATTTGGGTGTTTATTTTTATGAGACTCAAAAAATGTCAGAACAGCGCCACCTACAACAGCCAATGGGAGTTTCAGAGGTCAAGTTTGTCGTAGAGCCATGAAATTCGGTGCACATGTTCCTCAAGTCAAGACATAAAAAACCTTTTATTGTGGCCACGCCCTTTGACAAACAGGAAGCCCATAAATTTCACTGCAAAATGGAAAAATGATCCGCAATCATTTTCATACATGTCGGTTGGAAAGCGACTCCTCCTCGGCCGTTTCACCGATTTGCCTCAAAATTGCTCCACATCATCTCAACACATTTACCTTCAAAATGACCAAAGGGATTTTTGATCAGTGAAAAGTTGTTTGAGCAGCGGAGCGGGCGGGAAAATGTGAGTGTTTTTTGGCCGTTTTTGACAACATTAATTTTGCTCCCGTTTGCACAAACAAAGTCTGATTTGTACAAAACTTGAATCCAATGTTCAACTCCAGGGTTTAGGTCAGGTGAAAGTGAAATATTTGAAATTGGCCCATTAGCGCCCCCTACAGATTGAGGCAAAGTTTTACAAGGGGTGCCAAACAGCTCTAATCATCATATTCATTACAATTTGACTAACAATCTTCTATGGCTACAGCAATAAATCATCACACGGCGGCCCCACCTCCTTTGCACAGTGCTGCGTGGTACGGTGTGGTGCGGCGTAGTGCGGGGCGTTGTGGAGCGGCGCGTTGCGGCTTGGTGCAGATCTGCTTGGTGCGGGGCGGCGTGGCGCGGGGCGGCGTGGCGCGGTGCAGATCCGCGCGGTGCGGGGCGGCGTGGTGCGGGGCGGCGTGGTGCGGGGCGGCGTGGTGCGGGGCGGCTTGATGTGAGGCGGCTTGGTGCGGAGCGGCTTGATGCGGGGCGGCTTGGTGTGGGGTGGTGCACGCAGTGCGGGGTGTTGCTCGCGGTGCGGGGTGGTGCGCGCGTTGCGGCGAGGGCCGTTAGACGCCGCTAGCTTTAATTATCTTTCTTTTTAATGTTCTGTGATTATTTATGATTTTAATGCTTTCATATTTTGTTCAGCACTTTGAGTTGCCTTGTGTATGAATTGTGCTATAAACTTGCCTTGCCTAATTTGCACCAAAGTGACAAAATTATGACCAGGATATGTAGAGAACACTATTGGACACTCATTTACTGTATACTGTTTATCAGCAAAAATTTGAGGGTGAGTTGTCCTTTAAAGCCACCCTGATTGGAGCCACTGGATCCCTCAAAATGACCGCCTTATGGCTCCACCCACTCTCTCCTAGCCAATTACCTTCCTTTTTTGGTTGATTCATACCCTCTTTTTAATTAAATAAACCCTCCAAAAGTATATTGGCTTTTTCTCTTCCTTTATGTTTCACTTCATGAGCCTGGGTGTCACAGCAGCACACCAAAAATAAACCAAGCTCAGTGCGCAGGACTTGTGTATCAGCACCAGATAGAAGTGCAAAAACAGAGATGCACAGTATTTCCTTTTCAAAATAATGAAAAGATCAAAACATGTGATACAAGCACCTTATTTGTGAGGGGGATGGCGGCAGATGACTATTTAGCACATGATTCCTCTCTGCATGGCTTTGAGAGGACACATGCTTTTAAGCTAAGAACATGTTCTGTACTATTAAGTGCGTATTATGTATTATTTCTGACACTTGTAAGTTCAGATATAAGCAACTGAAGGGGAAGATGATATGTATAGCCCAAAGTGTTTTCCCTCTTCTTCTCCTCATGATCAGGCTTTGACCACATACTCCTATGCAAAGGTTTGGGCACCCTCTTATTTAATAATTCTAACAAACTTTCTGTATACCACTGTACATTCTCATGTTTCTGTATCTCTCTCTCTGCGTTCCAATGAATAAATACGTTTACAGTCTATAATAAATACACACGCAATGCATTATTCTGTGTTCATCTATAAAGCATGAGACGTGTAAAGGGAAAAAGGACACTTTGTGCTTATAGCCTGATTATATTATGTTGGAATGGAATCATCTGAAGTAACACTGACACCGCACGACCTACACTGTAGGAGCGTGGAAATAAAAGAAGCGAATGGCTTTTTTTTATTGATTGACTGCGGAACCTTCCGCAGTCAACCATTGGTTTTGTATTTCTTTATTCCGTCATTTTTTTTGACACGTTTCACAGCTTTCACATTTTCAACAATTTCCACAAGTTATACATCAAAACGTTCCACATGTTTGGGAGATTATTGCTATTACTTTTGGGACTTCAGCGATTTCCGGTTTTTCCGCAATCGGACAAAAATCTGCATTGAGAATTCTGCAATGCATTTTAATAGGCCCATGCATTTTAATAGGACTTCAGCTCTTTCAGACATTTCTACAGTTTCAATGATTCAACAGTTTCAAGGATTCAACAGTTTCAAGGATTTCAGCAGTTTCAAGATTTCAAGAGTTTCAAGGACTTCAACAGTTTCAAGGACTTCAGCAGTTTCAAGGACTTCAGCAGTTTCAAGGACTTCAGTGTAATCATGCAACCTAATAGGGATTTTTCCATGTAAACCAGTATAATGCAACTTAATAGGGATTTTTCCATGTAAACCAGTATAATGCAACTTAATAGGGATTTTTCATGTAAACCAGTATAATGCAACTTAATAGGGTTTTTTTCCATGTAAACCAGTATAATGCAACTTAATGGGGATTTTTCCATGTAAACCAGTATAATGCAACTTAATAGGGGTTTTTACATGTAAACCAGTATAATGCAACTTAATAGGGATTTTTCCATGTAAACCAGTATAATGCAACTTAATAGGGATTTTTCCATGTAAACCAGTATAATGCAACTTAATAGGGATTTTTCCATGTAAACCAGTATAATGCAACTTAATAGGGGTTTTTACATGTAAACCAGTATAATGCAACTTAATAGGGTTTTTTACATGTAAACCAGTATTATGCAACTTAATAGGGATTTTTCCATGTAAACCAGTATAATGCAACTTAATAGGGTTTTTTTTTCATGTAAACCAGTATAATGCAACTTAATGGGGATTTTTCCATGTAAACCAGTATAATGGAACTTAATAGGGGTTTCAAGGATTTCAGGAGTTTCAATGTTTCAACAGTTTCAAGGATTTCAGGAGTTTAAAGGTTTCAACAATTTCAAGGACTTCAGGAGTTTCAAATATCTATCAAGTATTTTAACAGTTTCAAGGCCTTTTAAAGGATTTCAAGGATTTTTTTTAGCAGATTTCCACATTAGATCTGTTCCGCAGTCAATCGCAATGGCTTCAGCCATTGCAAGTTTCTAGTTTCTTATTGGTAATAATAGAGTTCCTGTCTGTTTTTCTCTTCGCAGACAGACGCCATATGCATGAGGGGCATACAACCCCTCAGCCGTCTGTCTCCGTCATTCCTCTCTGTTTAGCCTCTGTTTAGCCTCTGTTTAGCCTCTGTTTAGCCTCTGTTTAGCCTCTGTTTAGCCTCTGCTTTAGCTGGACAGTAAGATTAGCTGTAACTTTGGTTCTTTGTGAAACTCGGGATGTTCCGTTCGGCTGCTTTTTCCCGTCATAAGCCGTGAACATGTTGAAATGGATTTTATTAGACTCTTGGGCGCCGTGATTGCCGTTATTCTCTCCCAACTTGGATCTGGCTCCAAAAGTAATGGTAAGATATTTTCAGAAACACGATTTATTCTCAACTCCAAAACAAACTTTTCGTCTTGATCACATGAGCGAAGGCTGTAGGACAAAGAGTTGTTTGAGTGCGTAAAACTTCTCTGAGTCTATGTGCTGGCGACACGCAGTCACTAATACAATAAACAAAGACAGTTTTCATTCAGGGTTTAGAACACTTCCAAATAAACATGACCGACTCATGTAAAGTTGTACCTAAGTGCACATAGGCTATCGGCTTGCACCGTTATTATCATAGATCATTGATAGCACTTACCAAAAATACACTATTACATAACTTGTCAACTCTAGAGGGCTAATAATAAGAATAAGGACACAATATGATACAGTTCATAGGTAAAAGAATATATGCAATACATAGAGTATATTGCTTAAAGAAAAATAAAGACGATTACAGCTGCTGTACATTATGAAGGCGTGACCTCCAGTAATGCTATAATTTGGAAGTAAACAGGAGTGAGCAGAACTCTGGGCTGACCAGAGTTTGAACAATTGCAATTTTAATAACGACAACAAAAGATTTTGTGTTAATATGATGCAATGTGTTGTATACTGAAGATTGGTTTGATGATTTTATTTTATAAAATATATTTTTCATAAACGTACTGCATCTGTCCAGCTCAGAGAATCTGCCGGCGTGGGACTGAGCTTCCCTGCTACAGAGTTTGCTACATCCAGGACTGGAGAAGGAGGCTGAGCTTTGCAGATGCCAGTCGGGCCTGTCAGTCTGATGGAGGGGAGCTGCTGAGCATTGAGACAGAAGGAGAGCAGCGGCTCATAGAGAGATTCATCACAGAGCTGCAGGTGGGGGATGGAGACTTTTGGATAGGACTGAGGCGAAGCCTACAGCGTTTCCGGGCACAAACCACTTCCACAGTCTGCCCCTCCCAGTACTACTGGCTCGATGGCAGCAAAGCCAAGTTCAGGTCCTCTATTTTTGGGGAAATATACAAGAAAATGAAGAGTGTATGAGATACACACTGTATTAAACCTATGATGTTATCATATTTTAAAGGAACTGGCATTGGGATGAGCCCTCATGTGGCACAGAAATGTGTGTGGCTCTGTACCACCAGCCCTCAGCACCTCCTGACGAGGAGGGACATTATCTGTTCCAATGGAATGACGACAACTGCAACTCCAAGAACAACTATGTCTGCAAATACACTGAAAGTGAGCCAAGTACTTAAAGAGTTATGTGACAAATTATTCAAATCTCTTTATTTTTGCAGAAAAAGCCTTGACAACTTCAAAACGAAATACAGTGGGTAAGTAAATGCTTTGGTCTCTTTAACTGAGAGCTCAATCCTTCCTTAGTAAATGGATGCACTTTCTTTTCATGAAAAAATATCAAATATCAAATTCATCAAAATTTATATAAAATTGAAAATGATAGAACAATGTAATAATGTCATCCATATCAATGAAATGTGTGTGTATTCACGCCAGCACCAACCTCAAAGTCAAAGATTGTATCCACAACAGATTCTGTGGATAAACTGCATACTAGATTACCAGAGTCATCAGGTATGCGTATTTTTACTATAAACATGTCGATTAGCACTTTCTTCTAGAAATAACTTCTTTGTTTGTAGTATCTCTTTCAGACAATATCTTATTCTTTCTTTATGCCACTATTCCGGCTCTACTGCTGCTGCTGCTGCTGGTCAGCACAGCAGGCTTTTTCTGCTACAGACATCATCTCAACAGGTACATTTGCAATATTATTTTTACTGTATGTAAAGTGTAAATAATTGTCATACTCTTCACCAGACAAAAGACTGAACTGGAAACTGGGCAACATCAGCAGTGGACTACGGCTGATTCACCTTGCCCAGTACAAGGACCGTATGCTCTGAGTGACGTCACCAAACTCCCTCCCACTGCTTTGGACTGCAGCCTGACAGCGAGACCCTCGTGCGGACCACCCTTTACCTTTCAGTTCGGTGACTATGATGATGTGCCAAGCACAGACACGCGCACAGGCTTTGTGACCAATGACATATATGAGATGTGCCAACCAAGTCACCACCGCCTTGGTCACACTGGATGGGTGGAAAACGAAATATATGGTTGACTAGGAATTATTGTATAATTTTGGCCCATTTACAAGTAATTATGCCAATCTCTGCTTTTCAACATAATTTTGATAATCGTCTCCATGCTAATGATAACAGTGTGTTTCTCTAAATAAATCTAGAATGGTTTCCAAAATGTTTTTTTCTGGTTTGTCAAGTGGAAGTGAATGTTGCCAGTAAACACAAGGGACCCAAGGATTTGAGAATTACCACAACACTGTAAAAACTAAAAAGTTAGTTCAACTCAAAATTTCAAGGTAACTGGCTGCACAAGACTTATGAGTTGAAGGCTCAAATTAATTCTTTACATTTTGAAGAACTACAATCATTAAGTTTTGTCAGCTAAGTGTTTCTAGTTCTGCCAACTACGTTTTTGTAATTCAAGTAACTGGAACTTTCAAGTCTGTAAAAACTATTTTAAGTTCAGATTACAGTCCCCTGCAATAATTTACTATTTTGAGTTTAAATTTCCCCCCACATTTAATCATCCCGCTTCATCCTCATGTGCATTTATATAGCAATTTTACAGATCAAAGTCACTTTGGTAGGGGAAACCAGAGCACCTCTATGCAGACACAGAGAACATACAAATTCCATTCAGAGAGGCCCTGTTTTGACCAGGATTCGAACCCAGGACCTTCTTGCCAAGAAGCGAGAGTGCTATCCACTCAGCCACCGTGCCACACACACTGTAATGTTTCTTAAGGAAAGTCCTTTCCTCAATAAAGATTAGTTTTGTGAATGCCATAAACATAACAATATAAGTTCATTAAACACAGTCTTATTAACATTCATCAGCTCACTAACTTACACATTGTTTGTACTAATCCGTTTTAGTTTTATAAATGCCATGAATTTAAGAATATAATCTCACTTAATTAACATTTATATTAGTCTTAGTCCTGAACTCTACAACTCTCAGATTGAGAAGCAATAATGCTACAATTTAATTAGAGCTTAGTGTCTGTAAAGTACTGCATTCAGGCGCAGTTACCTTTGATTATATTCAGAACATTTTTGAAAGTATGACCCAGGGAATATATAGGGCTACTTTGGCTTGGCCCTACGGAGCCCTGCAAGGGCCAGGGGTAAAAAATAAAATAAACTGTGAGCACAGATTATTAAACTGTGCGCACAGAGTGTTAAACTGTGAGCACAGATTGTTGAACCGTGCTATTTTGGACCCAAATGGCTACTTTAACTCCATATTTCTCCAAATTTCTACAGTAAAAGTTTCTGGTCTTTGGTACAGTGGTAGAGGGCAATAATAAGGTCATGAGTCAAGTGAAATTAGTCGCACACCTTATTCCAGTAAATAGTTACAATACTTGAAAATTGCACTAGCGGACCAAATTGTGTACTTTATATATGTAAACCAGCCATTCCCAAACTCAGTAACACCGAGGCCCCCTTAAAAATCTGACGGGTCTGCGTGGCCCCCCAAAATAATAACCAAGAAGACAACATTAAGAATAGGCTCTTCTGGTTATTTTATTTTGAGGAAATAGCCTCTGCTACAAACATTGTAATACAAAAATGATTACAGTGGATTATTCAAGTCAAATAATGAACACAAATATTTTAATATTACAAACAAAACATTATAAATTTAACATTAAATAATTCTTTTTTTTTTTTTTTTTTTTATGACCTCCCGCGGACCCCCTGCAGTACCCTCGCGGCCCACCAGGGGGCCGCGGACCCCACTTTGGGAGACACTGATGTAAACAATAGAGTGGCTATCCTCCTGAGGACTCACAATCTGCAGGAGGAATCGTAGGGGGCTGGTGCTATGTGTACCGGGTGGCATCTCTATAAGGTTTTAATCACAAAAATGTGTCTCCCAGACCCCAGCGCGCTTTCTGTTCGATAAAAATGGGTGACTCCGAAAGGATGTTCCGCTGTTACCGTAAGTTCTCAAAGAAACGCGCACCGTATTTTCCCCGATGCGGGGAGAAGGGTCTGTCTGCGGCTTGCAGTAAGGAGGCGTGTCGGGTAGTGACGTCACTACCCGACACGCCTACTACCCGACACGCCTACTACACGAATTTTGAATCCACGTGAACTTCTGCAAGTGTATCCGTTGAAGAGAAGACATGGCAGACCGTACGCAAACAGTAAGTGACAACCAACAACGTGTTTTATTTATTTTTAGGCCGTCCCACAAGTTACAGTGTATTAATGAATAAATGCACATCACCCTGACTAGAAATGTGAAGCGAACTAATACATTGTAGAGAACTAATACATTGCAGAGATAGCAATTCGTATGGGTTTCTTCTAAGAGTCCATGTGTACGGAAGCTTGTTAGGTTCACTTGTGAGTGTGTTGTTTTTTTCCCGCTGGTATCATGTTATTTCATGATACACAACTATCATGTTATTTCATGATACCAATTTATCATGAAATAACATGATAGTTGTGTTTCATGAAATAACATGATAGTTGTGTATCATGAAATAACATGATAGTTGTGTATCATGAAATAACATGATAGTTGTGTATCATGAAATAACATGATAGTTGTGTATCATGAAATAACATGATAGTTGTATATCATGAAATAACATGATAGTTGTGTTTCATGAAATAACATGATACCAGCGGAAAAAAACACACTCACAAGTGAACCTAACAAGCTTCCGTAATTATGCAATGTAGCTGTCAGGGATGAAGCAGACAGAGACGGATCGTAGACCTCCAACCTCAGACCATGTCGATCCTCCTGGACAATAGGGGACCACCCAGAGCAACAACAACTGGTATATTATTCACAGCAGTTGTTCAGATAGATTGGTTGTCTCGCACATGTATAATTACTGTAAATTTTAGAGGTAAGAAAAATAAAGCGACTCATGTTTTTTGTTATAGCTGGGATACATTCTAGATGATAAGCATCCAGAAAATGAAATAATAATCAAAGACTGCAACACTTGCCTGACGAGGGGAAATTTCCAGACTTTGGGGCTTCGAAAGGACATGGATTCCGAGGTACCCAAGTTCAGAATTGTGGCTCACTGATTGGAAGAAATTTAGAAAATGTCATTTCAATGTGCCCACTCTAAAGTGGAAGACCAAGCTGTAGGTTGCATGCGGTTATTTCTGGAATTATAAGCCTTGATATTTCAAACTTTAATACTTGAAGTACATATATTCACAGATGGGAAATGCTTGTCTGCGCCTCGTGCAGGAAATCCTTCAGATACAGGTACAGCTTTTACAGTGGACAAAGAACGGTGCCTATTATCAACCCTAATTGTTTACTCATGTCAATCTATGACAGTTTATCATTGGGCCCAGGAGCTTATTCACTTTGTCAATTCTGTCTTTGGATCACATATTTTTTGTGTTAAGAATGTTTATTCTTGTTCAGGGAAAATCAATTCATGTTGTTGACCTGTATATACCCCCAACATGGCTGCCAACTTCTAATTGCAACCCTGCTGAAGGCTTGCCAGTAAGTATATTTCGTCCCAAGACAAAACACAACAGAATTGACACGTAATTGTACTTTTTGTTTAGGTAAACTCACAAAACATGGATGCTATCGTCATTCCTCTTTGGGTCCCCGGTCATTTCATGTTGTGTGTAAGTTGAAAAACTGTCATCCGCAGGCTCACTCACAACTTTGTTTTTTGCTTTCTGGCATATTCTGTTGTGTTACATTGTGGGATTGAAATATTATTACTGAAACCTCACCTGATTATAGAATTCAGACACATGTTTTGCTGTTACTTTTTCTTCCGCTTCAAGTCTTAACCTTTATCTCACCCTCTATGTTCTTATCTTCATAGACCCATTACAGTTTGGGTCAATATGTTGTATTTTATTCTATATTAAACCCCTCATAAATCTCTGTCCTCCAGGTTATGAAGCCAATGCAGAAAGAGATTCTGTTCATTGACTCTCAGTATCACATGAGAAAGCAGGGCTTTGGGCATGACGGTTATCGTACTTGCATCAGGCAAAATATATGCAGTTTACTTATACCTAGTCAAGACGTTCCCTTGACTAAGGTTTGTGATTTTACAACTGAGATTTATTTACATTATTTAATTAAAAATACAGAAACCAATTATCTAGTGCTACTGTACTTTCAGTTGTAAAATCTCAGGAAAACCTTTCTGCATGTTTTATCTCCATTTATTTTGTTTTGAAGAAGGCAGTCATGTTCTGACTTGCCAAGTTTGACTTGATTTGTTGTTGAAAGTCACGTTCACTTGACTTCTTTACAATTGCTGACAGCACACACTGTAGGAGACAGATCAGGGTTCACTGGGTGGGTGGGTGTGTGTGTGTGTGTGTGTGTGTGTGTGGCTGCACAGCAGGGGGCGGGGCTCACGGGGCAGGTGCGCGTGCACGAGCAGGGGTAAAAGTGTGCGTGTATCTGTCAGGCGAGTGATGAGTCAGGGCTGAGTGGGTAGCCGTATTTTTTGTTGACCGTTTGTTCGTTTTGTTCGTTTGTTTGCCTTATACCTCTTCTTTTGCTCACATCAGGTTCTATGTTACAGTTCAGCAGTTTATCATTTTTTCCATACTTTGTTTGCTGCACCTTTTTAAGTCAATAAATCACTTTAAAACGCAATACCAGGATCAAGGATTTATTAGCATAGGCTTCAATACGCGTCATCACATTACAGGACCCACTCTGACCGGCTCAGCGGCTCAGGTCTACCGCGGTAAAGTGGCCCTGCATTTCGTCGCGAGCGGTAAAGAGGTCCGCACTTTGAAAGCGGTTGGCTCTTTTATGCTGTTACTTACGGTAAATGTGGAAAGGGAAGCCGTGACGACGAGAAAGCAAAATGCTATATCTTTTAAAAAATCATTAAAAAAGAACAAAAAGAGGTTTGACAATACTTTCACTGCACACTTCTTCAATGAGATGCTCTTTACCACTGTGTAAAATATCATTCATGTTTACTCTAGAAATTCTGAGAAAATGGGGGTCAAAATGTGCCATTTTGGTCCCAAAAGCACTTTTTAAAATTCATTTTTAAAAAATCGAAAAAAGTTCCCTGACTGCTTTCACTGCACACTTGTTCACCAGGATGCCCTCTACCACTGTGTAAAATATCATTCACTTTTACTGTAGAAATACAGAGAAAATGGGGGTCAAAGTGTGCACAAGTGGTCCCAAAAGCACTTTTTAAAAATCATTTTAAAAAAATCTAAAAAAGTTCCCAGACTACTTTCACTGCACACTTGTTCACTGGGATGCCCTCTACCACTGTGTACAATATCATTTACTTTTACTGTAGAAATCCAGAGAAAATGGGGGTCAAAGTGTGCACAAGTGGTCCCAAAAGCACTTTTTAAAATTAATTTTTTAAAAATCTAAAAAAGTTCCCTCACTACTTTCACTGCACACTTGTTCACTGGGATGCCCTTTACCACTGTGTAAAATTTTATTCGCTTTTACTGTAGAAATCCAGAGAAAATGGGGGTCAAAGTATGCACAAGTGGTCCCAAAAGCACTTTTTAAAATTCATTTTAAAAAAATATAAAAAAGTTCCCTGACTGATTTCACTGCACACTTGTTCAACAGGATGCCCTCTACCACTGTGTAAAATATCATTCACTTTTACTGTAGAAATCCAGAGAAAATGGGGGCCAAAGTGTGCACAAGTGGTCCCAAAAGCACTTTTTAAAATTCATTTTAAAAAAATATAAAAAAGTTCCCTGACTGATTTCACTGCACACTTGTTCAACAGGATGCCCTGTACCACTGTGTAAAATATCATTCACTTTTACTGTAGAAATCCAGAGAAAATGGGGGACAAAGTGTGCACAAGTGGTCCCAAAAGCACTTTTTAAAATTAATTTTAAAAAAATCTAAAAAAGTTCCCTGACTACTTTCACTGCACACTTGTTCACTGGGATGCCCTTTACCACTGTGTAAAATATCATTCACTTTTACTGTAGAAATCCAGAGAAAATGGGGGTCAAAGTGTGCACAAGTGGTCCCAAAAGCACTTTTTAAAATTCATTTTAAAAAAATCTAAAAAAGTTCCCTGACTGATTTCACTGCACACTTGTTCAACAGGATGCCCTCTACCACTGTGTAAAATATCATTCACTTTTACTGTAGAAATCCAGAGAAAATGGGGGTCAAAGTGTGCCATTTTGGTCCCAAAAGCACTTTTTAAAAAAATCTAAAAAAGTTCCCTCACTACTTTCACTGCATACTTGTTCACTGGGATGCCCTCTACCACTGTGTAAAATATCATTCACTTTTACTGTAGAAATCCAGAGAAAATGGGGGTCAAAGTGTGCCATTTTGGTCCCAAAAGCACTTTTTAAAATTCATTTTAAAAAAATATAAAAAAGTTCCCTGACTGATTTCACTGCACACTTGTTCAACAAGATGCCCTCTACCACTGTGTAAAATATCATTCACCTTTACTGTAGAAATCCAGAGAAAATGGGGGTCAAAGTATTCACAAGTGGTCCCAAAAGCACTTTTTAAAATTCATTTTAAAAAAATCTAAAAAAGTTCCCTGACTGATTTCACTGCACACTTGTTCAACAGGATGCCTTCTACCACTGTGTAAAATATCATTCACTTTTACTGTGGAAATCCAGAGAAAATGGGGGTCAAAGTGTGCACAAGTGGTCCCAAAAGCACTTTTTAAAAATCATTTAAAAAAAAACTAAAAAAGTTCCCTGACTACTTTCACTGCACATTTGTTCACTGGGATGCCCTTTACCACTCTGTAAAATATCATTCACTTTTACTGTAGAAATCCAGAGAAAATGGGGGTCAAAGTGTGCCATTTTGGTCCCAAAAGCACTTTTTAAAAATCATTTTAAAAAAATCTAAAAAAGTTCCCTGACTGATTTCACTGCAAACTTGTTCACTGGGATGCCCTCTACCACTGTGTAAAATATCATTCACTTTTACTGTAGAAATCCAGAGAAAATGGGGGTCAAAGTGTGCCATTTTGGTCCCAAAAGCACTTTTTAAAATTAATTTTAAAAAAATCTAAAAAAGTTCCCTCACTACTTTCACTGCACACTTGTTCACTGGGATGCCCTTTACCACTGTGTAAAATGTCATTCACTTTTACTGTAGAAATCCAGAGAAAATGGGGGTCAAAGTGTGCCATTTTGGTCCCAAAAGCACTTTTTAAAATTCATTTAAAAAAAAACTAAAAAAGTTCCCTCACTACTTTCACTGCACACTTGTTCACCAGGATGCCCTCTACCACTGTGTAAAATATCATTCACTTTTACTGTAGAAATCTAGAGAAAATGGGGGTCAAAGTGTGCCATTTTGGTCCCAAAAGCACTTTTTAAAATTCATTAAAAAAAAATCTAAAACAGTTCCCAGACTATTTTCACTGCACACTTGTTCACCAGGATGCCCTCTACCACTGTGTAAAATATCATTCACTTTTACTGTAGAAATCCAGAGAAAATGGGGGTCAAAGTGTGCCATTTTGGTCCCAAAAGCACTTTTTAAAAATCATTTTTAAAAAATCTAAAAAAGTTTCCTCACTACTTTCACTGCCTACTTGTTCACTGGGATGCCCTCTACCACTGTGTAAAATATCATTCACTTTTACTGTAGAAATCCAGAGAAAATGGGGGTCAAAGTGTGCACAAGTGGTCCCAAAAGCACTTTTTAAAATTCATTTAAAAAAAATCTAAAACAGTTCCCAGACTACTTTCACTGCACACTTGTTCACCAGGATGCCCTCTACCACTGTGTAAAATATCATTCACTTTTACTGTAGAAATCCAGAGAAAATGGGGGTCAAAGTGTGCCATTTTGGTCCCAAAAGCACATTTTTAAAAATCATTTTTAAAAAAATCTAAAAAAGTTCCCTCACTACTTTCACTGCCTACTTGTTCACTGGGATGCCCTCTACCACTGTGTAAAATATCATTCACTTTTACTGTAGAAATCCAGAGAAAATGGGGGTCAAAGTGTGCACAAGTGGTCCCAAAAGCACTTTTTAAAATTCATTTTTAAAAAATCTAAAAAAGTTCCCTGACTGATTTCACTGCACACTTGTTCAACAGGATGCCATCTACCACTGTGTAAAATATCATTCACTTTTACTGTAGAAATCCAGAGAAAATGGGGGTCAAAGTGTGCACAAGTGGTCCCAAAAGCACTTTTTAAAATTCATTTTAAAAAAATCTAAAAAAGTTCCCAGACTACTTTCACTGCACACTTGTTCACCAGGATGCCCTCTACCACTGTGTAAAATATCATTCACTTTTACTGTAGAAATCCAGAGAAAATGGGGGTCAAAGTGTGCACAAGTGGTCCCAAAAGCACTTTTTAAAATTCATTTTAAAAAAATCTAAAAAAGTTCCCTGACTGATTTCACTGCACACTTGTTCACCAGGATACCCTCTACCACTCTGTAAAATATCTTTCACTTTTACTGTAGAAATCCAGAGAAAATGGGGGACAAAGTGTTCACAAGTGGTCCCAAAAGCACTTTTTAAAATTCATTTAAAAAAAAACTACAAAAGTTCCCAGACTACTTTCACTGCACACTTGTTCACTGGGGGGGCCTCTACCACTGTGTAAAATATCATTCACTTTTACTGTAGAAATCCAGAGAAAATGGGGGTCAAAGTGT